GAATCCCCTAGTATGTTCTCGCTTTAGAATTAGGTCAAGTCACACATAAGCTACCACTGAGTTAACCCAATTTTCATTCTATCCATCCACAATATAACGTCGCCATACTGATAATTGAGAAAGCAAATGTGGGTGTGGAAAGGAAGTGGGAAAACTGAGAGGTTTGGGAGAATTATAGAGAAAATTGGACGTGCATACCTCTGAAAAATGCCGCAATAGTTACGTATGATCATGAATTATAGTTACAATGCAACTGAAAATTCCGTACTAATGACTCATCGGACAGTGCTTTTAAGGTGGCTCAACGTGGTTTCCGATATTTTTCAAGCACTTCTTCTTTGGTTGAGTTATACTACAAAGCATATACAGTTTCAGCTGGCTTCATTTTCTTTTCTTTTCTTTTTCTTTCTCTTTTTAACATCATCAATTTAATTACAAACTTAATCCCACAAATGTCTACTTAAGCATCGATGCAGGACAGATAACAAACCATCTGACACATTTAAAAGAAACAACACAGTAATGCCGAACTAATCTTCCCCATGAACAGACTGGGTCTGAGGGACAAGTATTCTGATGACTTGTACTTTCTTACACATTTTATCATCAGATCTAGAAATTTGAGAACTTTCAGTACAAGTGGCTTTTCAGTTATGAAGAGGAACCTTCCATCGCTCTTCTTAAGCACTGGCATAGAAGGAAAAAGTGCACATGAGATTCCTTGCGCAAACTCGGACTGTGTGCTCTCGTTTTGTATTAACGAGAAGCTACGCCAGACCACCATTAAAAGTACAGAGAACCAAGAAGAAACAAAGAGACGTAAAGACAGGAATGGATTTAAGTAGGTCAACTATCCGATGTCATGTTTTTCTCGAATGAATCCATAAAATATTTATGACACTAATTTTCTTTAGACAAATTATCTTGCTGTAAGTATACTTAATTGTGTTCATGGTTGGTTCCTTAGTCTCTACAATGACTCGTTTAATTTTTTTTCATTGTATGCATTAAATTCATTCTGATAAGTAACTATCTCTTATAATATAAAGATCAGCCGAAACCAATCTGAGATAGCCTGCAATGTAGAAATATTTTGGGGGCTGGCAAACGCTGCTTGATTGGGAAGGGTAGAAATAAAGTGTTGCAATTTAACGTGGCAGTTACGCTACCAGCTACACGAGTTATAAAAAAAAATGATGATAATTGAAACCACGGTTATTAAATTGGTTGTCCCGGGAAAAATAGCAATGACGGGCCAAAGGTTTTCCTCAGAGAGACATTTCATTCAGATTATATGTTAGTTATGGTTCTATTTTTACACATTCCGGGGTGACCAGTGAGTCTGGCTTTAGCCAAGAAATATCCGTCTATCCTCGCTTATGTTCTCCATAGTGTGAACAGAAGAATGGTTTATTTTAAGGGATGAAGAGGTTTTAAACACACTTGAATCCTTGGCTAACAAAAAAAACTCCGATGTGGCATCAAAATCAGTTAAAAACAATCATGTTAAGAAGCAAAAGTCAAGTGACTTGATACACCCATTTTTGCTAGGCCATCAGAAAAAAGTTTGAATAAAAATAAATATTTTTTCCTCTCGTATTTCTTAAAATTAGAAAACCTTTGTCAGAAGATCCAAACATGGACATTGCAGCTGGTGCTGAAAACTGGGACCAAGATCTGGCGGATATTCTTAACATTGTGGGGGCAGATGGCTGTGATAATTCTGCCAGCTCCCCGGTTCACTCGACAGAGGACACAAATGAGGCGATTGAAGATGCCCTTGGAAGAAACTGGTGGTTTTATCCTGGTCAGGAAATTGTAGATTCACAACTGAGTCAGAATACTAGCTCAAGTTGTGATGGCCTGAAAGAATTGCCAAGTCAGCAGCCGTCAATGTTTCAAAGTACCTACCCCAGCCTCAACCCAAAGATTAAGTCTAATGGTACGGTTTTTCCACTCAATGATTACATGGCAATAGGTCATAACGGCGTAGATGATGGTGCATGCATTGTTCGTAACAGTACCATTACAGACAACAACCGTCATTTGAAGCAAAAACCCAATGCTCGTAGCTGTTCATACGGTATGGATTGCGTAGTGCTGGACATAGAAACAAGTTTGTCTGGTGTTAACCACGCTATGGAAAATAAAGGCAGAGACGAGCTTGAGGCCAGCTTCATGAAAAAGAAAAAGCCAAAAATTCCACAAAAGTCTTCAGGCCGGTTGTTTGGAATTCTTTCTCTGATATTTGGAGCATTCACCGACCCGTTGACATCAGAGCTTGAAGAGCGATACTTTCAAGTGCTGCAGAAAGCTCTCTTAGAAATTGAAAATACCCGCCATAATTTGTCAGAGCAGTCTCACGCACAGCAAATTTGACTCTATAACTTCCATTGTTCATACACATGTGACTAAAATGATTGAATTAGACGGCTTTGTGTAAAACCTCAGGCGAGAAATAAACGAATAGTCATTACGTTCATTCAGGAGATATCGCTAGGTTATTATAGAGTGTTTTCACATGACATCATGGTGGCCATATTGGTGTCCCAAAACAACGAAACGGCGGCCATGTTGGTGTCCCAGACCAATCCTCTGGGAGTTGAACTCTTTTCTTATACAAACGCTTTCTTTGGTTCCAATAAATTTGCGTAGATGCTGGCAACGTGAGTGAAAACACTCTATAGTACCATTTATTAACCGTGGCCTTGATATATTGACCTGGCTATCGCTTGGTCAATAAAAAACAGCTCACCGCAGTGAGTTGTACACTTGACCCAGCGATACAGGCATATGACACTGGTCAGCGGATACATTTCTGACAGCTGTCAATTGAACATAACATAGATGCTCACTATCAAGTTAAACATAGATTGTATATGCGTTGGACACCTAGCTAATAATGCCCTCTCATTACAAGGAAATCTTGCCCTATCAGCAACCAATCAGAGCGAGCGTACTTTTGTAGCCATATAATAAAAGGTAGGTCTAAAATGACACTTAATTGAGGTATTCTAAGGATTATGTGATAAGGGTTTCCTTGATGAAAGAATTATTTAATTCGATCAATACTGGCTAGCGTAGAATAGGTGTATTACAATAATTTTGTTAAATGTGCTTTTACCCATATTAACTATTAGAATCAGAATTTCGTTAATAAACATAATGAATCATGAATATAGTACTTAACGTGGGAGAACAATGTGGGAGTAAATTAACCTTCTATTCATGCTATTAGGCGTTTTGGGAGAGGGGTGGCCGGGGGATGGAAGAGGGGGGAAAATATCGCCCTCTTCTCGTGAGAAACATGAGAGCTAACAGGGAAATTGCATGATCCCAGGCTAGAAGTGAACGAGCCAAGCACCCAATCATGTTAGAACGGTCTAATGAAGCTATTTCGGAGTTATATTCATTTCCAAAATATTTCAAAACATTTCTTTTTTTCATTTCCAGCTTTTAGATAATTTTGTAAATACTTCGTAGTTAAGTTTAAAACATTGTAATATTAGTAATTAGCTAACACTGTAATTAGTATTAGATAAAGTGTTAATTATAAATAATGTAATATAATCATTGTTCCTGAAAAGCCCCTTTGGGGAGGTAACAATAAAGTATGTATGTATGTATGTAAATATTATGGAAATGTACCTGCAGTGGTTATTGTATGTTTCTCAGTATGGTTTTAGGAAAATATTCAGAGAAGCCCATTTTAAAATAGTTTTCAAAAGTCTTCTTCTTCTTTTTAGAAACTTTTTCTAATGTGTAAATCTAAACTGAAATTATCAAGCAGCAAACAGTCTTGAAAGCAAAAAGAACAGAGAGCTGAATTTACGGATACAAAAAGTATTGTCGTTTTTCTTAAAAAACTTAAAAAACTAACAGTAAGTAACCAAGAGCGCTATGACCCATCATGGCAGTGGGCTCCTGAAGTAATATTTTTGTGTAACTGAATTGATTTCAGGAACTTACAGACATTTTATATATAAATAAAGCAGTACTCAGTGTAACAATTTTTGTAACTTATTTTAAAAACTATACAAAAATACTCCTGGTCGTACAGATAAGGCGACAAATGAGAGATGTGCAGATGTTTAAAATTTATAGAATCTGCATTCAAAATATTGACTTGACAATGTGCTGAGTAACTCTTATTGAGTCTAAAACATGGCATTGGTCTTTCGTTTTTGGTTAACTGATGATGGAACTCCTGATTTTGCATGAGCGCTTTATCAGTGAGCACTTGCAAACAAATACCGTGTATTTTAATTCACGAACAAATTTTTGATAACCATTTTCAGGAGTATCTTTCCTGGCTGGAATAAGTCGGAAACCTTCTGATCGTTAATCATTTTTACCCCTGGGGCAAAAAACCAATTTATTGTCAGAACTCAGAATATTATCCACCAGGCTGATGGTCGCCTGCCACTTGGCTTAAAACAAACTTGTTGTGGTCTTTAAGTTCTACTTTTCCCCTTCCCGTCAAGAATCCAGCTCGGACAATAACTGAGATACAGTAAATCCTTTTGAGTCCAGAAAAAATAACTGACAGCTATCGTCAATCATCATTATCATCATCATCATCATCATCATCATCATCATCAATTTTTCTCCCTCTCAATACCTGGATATTCCGAGGTCTTTCCTTTCATGAAGAGAAATCAGGTCAACTACTCAGCCAAGGAACTGGAAAGGAATTAAAATAAGCCAATGCGAGATGGCTGTTATCTTTAGACTTTTTCTTGGAGATAGGGAAAAAATGACGGATTATTCTTAATTCTTTACTTATATTTTAAATAAATTAGGTTATGCTGCACCTGAGCCATTTTGAAAGCTTAGATGCTTTAATCATTTTGAATTAATTTTTGACTAAATTCGAGCAAACGATCATGACCTCATGTAATAAGTGATTTTGATTCAACGGATCCCACTATCGTATTTATTGGTGGCTCAATCTAGCCTCCGTTGTGGCCCGTTACGTTTTACCAGAGTGCAGCAGTAATTTTAAAGTCCGCCGGGGTTTGAGCACCAGTAACTTTTTAATGACTAAACCCAGGATCCCCAAACTGCCCCTATGCAGGACGCATCGCCTTCTTCGTCGAAAGAAACACCGATTTTCTTGGATGAAAATGCCAGGTAAGATACCATACCAGCACCAAAAAACACCGCACCCACTGCTGCGGCAATGATAAGAAAAGGAAGAACAGCTAAGCAAACCACGAGGTACACAATGGACAGAAAAAACGCCAGGAATACACCTGCGGAATGAGAAAATGTCTATTAAAACAAGTAAGGAGCCTAGAGATTGGCTATTTATCTCTTTATGAGGTAGCGCTGCCGCCGAGGAAAAATTACGTTTTACTGGGTACTGACTGAAAATAACTGAAGACACTTCATTTCAATAGACTGGTACTCAGTGATTTTGTTTGTCCGTCTGTCTGTTTTATTTGTTTATTAATTTATTTATTTGTGGAAAGAGACAGGAGGTTAAATGTCGACTATTGAATAACTCACCCTTTCCCAGTAAACTATACCAAGGATTCTCTTTGCTAACACCGCAGCAGAAAATAAACACCACAAACCAACATGGTGCTCTTTCCGCTTTCTTCTTCGACTCTACTCTTCCTTGTTTTGTCCATACGTTTACTTTGTCCTTGCTTTTGGGAAATTTTGCCTTGGGTGCTGAGAATTTTCTCTTTGTGTCTGGTATTTGATCAGACTGTTTGTTATTCATGTTTATATCTTTAAATGCTTTTTCTTGCCTGAACTTCGGTTTTACACTAGGAGAAGAATCTTCTGGCAGTGGAGAACTGAAAAGGTGTGTATAAGAGAGCATGAATTAATAAGTATAAATTCGCTCGTTTGTTGCTCAGGTCACATAATTAAGAGCAGACATACTTTAAATTATCGGTAAAATTGGTAGACTACGAGAAGTCTCTTTTTTTTCTTTTGAGTCATAAAAGATCTGGAGCGCACGCGCAAGGGGCGTAAGCCGGCAAGGGCAGAAGCCCGGCGAAGAAATAAGAGGCGTCCTTTTTCCTCCCTCCGCCACAATCCCTACTACTTTTACTTTTTCGCTCATCGCGCGTAGCTCTGAGGAAAGAAGGACGACCGCACGAGGTCTACAAAATTGGCCGTCTGAAGGCCATTTGAGAGTTTTAAGGGTACTGATAAGCCGATGATATACTTTCTTAGTTTACACTTTTAGGTCACATCCTACCAACTACAGCTTGGTTAAATCAAGTCAGTTTAAAAACTATGACTCTAACTACGATGAATACCGTGTGGGGTATGACTGCATTAAAAATGTAAGTCCCAGAAGTGACCAAAATCAATTTTCTTTAAACAGTATCGACACATAACAAAGAAAAGAGGTTATGATAATTAACGAAATGATCACCTAAGGGAAAATGCTTTGATCTTTAATCAATTCTTTAAGGAAATGCTAGTGGTCATGATTACTAGGCTATAAGTTATAGCCCACTAGTAGCGAAAAGCGTGGGCTTTTTGTCGGCAAAAAAGGATTAAAGTCTTGCTTTAAGTTGTTTTGTCTCGATATTTTTTGACCAACTAGTTGGATTTTACTAAAACAATTATTCCTCTCCCCCTCATGGCCCCCGAGTTAATAGCCCATTCGGCCTTTGGCCTCCTGGGCTATTGACGCTGACCCCATTCGGGCTCGAGGAATAATTGTTAAATATCACCCTCGTACACAGCGTCTTCCTTCCCCTTAACCAGCGGTCGGGAAACGAGCGTTGTCTCGTCAAGCCAACATGCGCAGTAAGGGACTCGAGAGACTCGAGGTACGAGATTGACTTTATATCAACTCCGTACTTACTCCTTCGCCTCTATACATATTTCTGTGTACGACTTGATTGTTATCATCCGCGGCTGTTGCCCTGGTTTCCTGGAATTAATAAGAAGAAGTCTACGTTAGCTAAACGAAATGCGTAAGAGACTAATGTGTTTGTCGGACATGAAAACCACTTACCCATCAGACATGGAGTCCATTGTTGGCAACCCTGTATAGTGATCACTTTCCTGGGTGTATATGCTGTCATAGTCCATATCCTCTAGGTCAATTATCTCAGACATTGTAGATTCCTTTACTGGACCGAATCGATGGATCTTTGATTAAAATACCCTTATGCGGATTTTCGAGACAAAATCCTCACTAAAAAAGAAACAACCAAACATCACTAGACAGTATACTAACGATTAATATTGAGTTTGATTCACAAGCACACAAAACGTTTCTGGTGAGATCCCAGTACAGTAAATAAGTGATCTTTTGTGGTACACTTCCTTTGTTTAAACTAGGGATAACATTACTGCTAGTCAGTGAAATCTGTTTTCAGAAATCATTCTGTTAAGACGTATTGATTTTGGAAAGACGCTATACTAATTCCCTAGAGTGATGGAAGTTAATTTATGAAAAGGAAGATGGTCTGACAGCAGATAGTACCAAGTATTTGCTATTGACGGGAGCCGATTACTAACAACTAGCTGTGTTGTCAGGCTTCGTTTTACTTTTAAATTCACAAAAATACAACTTGGAATGCAATTTCTTTTTCTTTTAGCCGGTCAAGTTCTCTAGAGAAACACACGCACAAAAAAAAAACAGTTAAATTCATGATTTGAGCCGTCACAACCTAATAATGAAGTCAGTTAAATTCGTAACCTTTCCATGCAGTCAACGTCTCTAGAGAACAGCGGAGGAGGAAAACAATCACTTCTGTCAACAGAGACTACTGAGGGAAAAGTAATTTGGCTTTAAGCAACCAGTTCTATTGTGCAATAGAACTCTTGAACAATAGGCTTGATTAGGGTCCTAATGAATGGAACGCGCGTTTGAAGTCTTCTCATTTATCAACAGCGAATTTACAAAGTGCCGCATCTGACTGGACATTTAGGATAATAACGATTCTACTGATAATTTCCTGGATTTTCCGGTGCCTTTCGCGTTTGGGCGTGTTGATTTCCTATGAATTTTGTAATAATCAGTCATGACCAGTTATTATATTAGGTGAAGCTCCAAATGGAAAATGTTGGCGCTGAACCTAGCACTTAATTATTTTATCAAAAAAGAAAGGAGAGATAATAAAATTGAAAAAGACAAAGACCAAGTGAAAGTTACGAGTGAACAGACTTTTAAGTATTTCAGTCCATTCACGGTTGTTTCTTTTGTAACCTCACAGCACATTAATGTGACCATTGGTCAGTCACAGTAAAATCAAAGTTTCCAGTCGGGTGTTAAACGAATCTTTGATGCTGACAAAAGAGTTATAATTTCTTTTCTTTAGGCCTTTTCCTTTTCGCTTCTTATGTTCTCTATACTATAAAAGAAGAAACAACTCCTAAACCTAGATTTGAAAGCGGCTTGTGAGGAAATGTAGGCCGCAATAAAGATCTTGACCCATGAGAATCCATACTAGGGCACGGAAAGAGACTTTGCTACATTGAAAAGGAAAGGAAGTAAGTTAGGTAGTTAAAGTAGTTTTACTTAAAAGAGACGTTTTAAAAACTCAACTGATTTAGATAGGGGCGCTTTGTCGGTTTTCAGTAACCGATTAACAAATTTTGGCCCCTTGAGAGTGATTACAACAAACAAAACTGGTGCCGCACAGACCTTCTATTTTCCCCTGTAAAGATCGTCCCAAGGGGAAAGAAAGAGTTCTAGAAAGGCAGCACAAGGAATTTTACTGAGAGAACTACTTAAAAATAGTTCTCTCAGTAACTGTAATTATAAAATTAATCGCATTATAAAAGCTTATCTCCGGTATTTCCCTACCTTGTCAATCCAAAATCTTAAAAAACTAGAAATCTCGATAGACTGATCCAAGTGCTATTGAAAAACTGTTTGAATTTACTTACTATACTTTGTCGGTTTCGGTGTTGTCATACAGATAACATCTTTGTAAAAGAAATTTTCACACTTGGGCCCTAATTAAATGCCGCTGGCTGATAAATTTGTATCTTAAAAGGAACATTGACTTTATGGGATTAACAGACTTAACAAAATTGCATCCAAACGTCAGGACAAGGCCATTTTTAATATACCATTTAGTAAACTTCTAATTTATAGGGGTGATAGAGATTGCAACGCCTGCTGTTATTGTGACCGTAAAAATGTGAATTTAAAGTAGCAAACTAACGAAAACTAGCTAAAAAGACATTCCGAAGTGATTCTAGGGTGCATGTACAACCAGGTATGTAAAAGGGCAGAGGATATGAAAGAGCTTGTTTGCTTTCACTAAGTCAATGAACGCTAACATTAATTGTTTAATGTTTATAGCAAGTAATGAAATAGAACAACCGCCTGAAAGGTGACTTAATCATTATGACCTTATTCATCAATAATCTATCCTGAGTCCTGTGGAGTCACTACCAAGTTAGTGCAATAGCCTATTAAGTTTGTAAAAATGCTCCTTTGCACAGTTTGCACAATAAGTAATAACCTATACGAATGTACTAAGCTGATTTGCATAGCACCGAGGTGAAGAACGCAAACAAACTAAGACGTGTGGCCAACCGGGTCGCTAATACTGAATAAAGGAATTCTGACGAATATGTATCTTGACCAGCAGACATGAACTACTACGTATACGTAGTGGTTAAACCTGATTTTCCATCAGCTTTAATTGTTTCAATACGAACAGTAACAGCCTTTAGAGAGAAAAAAATATCCACCCCCTATTTGGTTGTTTAGTGACGCAATCCGGATTTCAATCTATATTCTTAGAAGAAATCGTAACAATGCGCCTCTTAGCTGTCAAGTCTGAGAACTTTTTAAACTTGTTTCACCTGCCAAGAGTTCACTCACATTTCCAATCTTCAAAAAATAAGTAATGTCGCATAGTTTTTCAGTTATTCGCCCACCTGTACTATTCTTTGTCAAGGTACCCAGATCTTAGGACACGGCGCATATCATGCAGTCTTTGCTAATTTCCTGTGTCATCGTTTGTTTGAGATGGAACGGAACAAGCTCCACTCAGAAATAATGAGAATAACTCGAGTCCTCGAGGAGCGAATCTCTGCCAAGAGTTATGGAGCTAACTTTTGTCCTGAATTTTATGGTTTGTTTGGTCTAAACAGGTCTCAAGTAGTAAGTGGGTCCTTTTTTTGAAAACTTGATTCATAATTTTTTTCGTCAGTCTCAATTTAGGTTACGTTACTGGTGACGAATTAAATTGGGGAGGTCGGTGGAGCGGCGTCATTGTTCGGGCTAAATCTCATTAGGTAGCACGTTTACAGTAGGGAAAACAAATTGTGAGTACGGACAAGGTCGGCGTGTGTGCTTGGTATGCCAGGTCACCCCAAAATGAAAAAGGGTTGTTGCATACTTGTTTAGCCCAACTTTAATGAAGACCGGATACCAGTCAGACAGAGTACTCGGACACGGGACATTTTATGCCTTTTCGTGTCACTCGATCCTTTAAGGGGCTTGTGATATTGCAACGATTATGAAGCATTACGCCGACACAAGCAGAGTGTACAGTTAAAGTCCTTACAGTAATCAGAAGGCTATAATTCATTTCATAACATATAACATAATACTTACGTCTAATTGAGTCTCATTTGGAGCCAAGTACTTCCATCTAAGAAGTCAAGCTATTCAGCTGTTGTAGAAAGACTGTTTTCATTGTAGTATATCACGACTGACAAACCGGAAGAACTGAAATTTCCCATTCTTTGCAAAAACGAGACAATTTCTGACACTCAAAAACACCCACTTCATAACAAGCAGCCTGGTTAACAAGCCATTATCTCTAAAGACGAAATAAATCGAAAAGTACGCACTAGCTAGTAATAAAAGCTGCTGGGTAAAAGCTGTCAAAGCTTTTCCAGTCAAACAGAAGGAAGAATATTTCCCAGTGCTGAAGTTAGGAATATAGTTTTAATTAGGCATGCAAATCTGTTCGAAGTTTCTATTCAATGTTTAAGTAAACGTCTCAATTCTGGTTGCGTCATTGTTTGGAGGAGATGTCTTTGATGGCGTCTTCATGCCCCAAAGCCGTCAATCAAATTTTAGATGTCTCTTGTATGTTAACCAACTTTTCTTGACGGTTTATTTTGTATTAAAGAGTATTGTGCTTTGTATTCGGGTCGGGATTCGGGTCAGGATAAATGCCTGACCTAATCACTGCTGAACTCCCTGAAAATGAACGCACAGGTTTTCTTCTTCTGGCCGTGAGACGAGTCTGAGCGGAGTTAGAGTTAAGTTTGTTAACTGACTTTAAGTCAACTCTAACTCAACTCTTGTCTCTCAACTCTCTAACTCAACTCCACTTGTCAAAACAGTTGGTCCCTGAGTAGTCTGCAAGGGCATCCGGTTTTTTCGGCTTATAAAGAAGCGACGACCGGAAATAAGTCTGCGGTTCACAAGCTATTCCCTGAGGTGCGGCAAAGGTTTGTCAAGGAAAAGAAGCTTATTGTTTTGAGAAAAATGCAAAGATAGTCACGTTTATTACTATTTTTGTTTTTGTTTTGATACTCATCCTTGCCCACTGTAAATGACAGGAACAAAAAACGCCCGCGGTGGGTATTCGGGGGATCGATACCCGGGGCGACCGGGCTTAACCCGGGGCATGACAATTTCTCGTTACTGCAATCGCCTTGTACAGCGTTATTTCTAACTTCATATATGAAGTATCTACCAAAAGTCAAGAAAAACAAAATGGCTGAAGAAGGAGACCACGAGCCTGTGACAGAAAATCCCGAGGAATCAGAAGAAAAAATCGAATATCCTCTAATAGTTCAATACTGTGGGGGTAAAAAATTTTTCGCATGTTGCATATAATTCAAACGTATTTAACACTAAAATACTTTTGCTGTTTTTTGTTTTGTTAATTTGCCACTGATCGTGGACTGGTTCGATGATTGTCTCCTCATCCAGTTTGTAGCCTGCCCCTTGAGGTAAGGTTTTATGAGGATGCTGTTTTCTTAGTTTCCTTAATCAGTTACTTTCTCTAGATCTGTATGTAATGTTCCTTTTTTTAAAGTTGGTATCTTGGTGCTACAAATACACTTCACACTGATGATGGCGCAATTTAAAATTCACCTCAGTGTTGAGCATGTCGAGACTATTGCAATTTCAACTATGAGAAGTCTATTAGGATGGTTGAAATGACTTTAATACTCACCCCTATAGTATGTATTATGTTACAAGTCAAATTTGATTTCAGGTAAATTTTGATTTAACCTAGGTTGATTCTAAATTTCCAATGTCTCCCAGCCATATGAGACAAAGGAAATTGAGAATCAACCTAGGTAAAACAAAATCACCTGAAATCAATAAGAATATTGTGAATTATAAGGAACCTCACTTTAATCTTCATGATGAGAAAAAGGTTTGGGAAAAGGGTGTTGCTCCTTAGCAACCACAGTAATGAAATATTGGCGACAGTTTATCCCTTTTGTTTTAAACATCCAAGTAGTATTTGTGAGATTTCCAAACATTTTTACTCATCACACTGACACTAGAGTCATATTTTTCTCTGTTAGTACTGTGAGTACACTGCAGAATATGAGAAGTGTAAGGAATGGCTCAAGTCAAATATCCCTGATGCTTATAAAGTCCTTATAAACCAAGGTAATTTATTGAACACACTTCTGTTTAATTTGTTTTGAAATTTCCCCTGACATAGTAATCATACTTGGGAAGATTGGAGAGCACTCAAGAAGCACTTCTTGAGTGCTCTCCAAACTTCCGAAGTGTTATGGATGCACGTGGGAAATTTGGAGAGCACAAGAGAAGCGTAAGAGTTGCTCGCAGAGTAATAACTCGATACTTGTGCAGTTAATAGCCTGAACCAATTCTTCCATAACAAAGCTAACAAAAGCACTTGGAAAAAGTGTAACAAAATGCAAAATGCAATGCAAAATTCTTGTAACACGCAGCACAAATGCTTCTATTGGTTGGTTACAAACACGCCACAATCGTCTATTTGGAAGAAAAATGTTTTTCTAAAACTGAGTGTGAAAATTTGCTTTGTTAAGGTCAATGGAAACTAAGCAGAAACAAAGGTAAAACAGTCTTTAAGTCCACCTAAAATTAAAATACTCAAATGTTCATAAGAAAGCGTGGAGTATGGTTTGGATCCGTTGAAACGATTTTTATGTTTTACTTGGTGAAATCCAGGAAACTTGTTGTTTAGCGGAAACAACTTTCATCCTTTGTTATATTTTATTCATTTGCGAACAATGGAGGAAGTCTTACTTGTACTGTTCATTAAGGCTTCTTGAGAGGACTGGGCTGCAATTGTTTTTGTGAGTAATAAAATAATATTATTTATGTCTTTTTGTGTAATTTGTCTTGTTATTGTAGGGGAGATTTTCCTGCCTTGGATTGTTTGGTTATAACAAAAGTGCATAATTTTTTTGCTATTACTTTATAATTAACTTGTTTTCAAAAGGCTAAACAAACGTTAAAAACGGAGGCTGAGCACTTTATACAAATCGGATATCCTCGACACAGACCAATTTGTGGTCTTTTTCCAGCTGGATGTCAGTCTTAATGCGAGACTTTTCAATGACTTGAGGGCTCTGACTACATGTAATTTGCGAAACATCTTCACCACTTTTGTTGTTGGTTTAATTGAGTGACTAGAAGCTGAATTCCAAAAATGCTAGAAAGTTGTTCCTCACATGTCATCAAATTTACGGATGGGCGGGTATAAATAAAGGTTTTTTTCATTGCGACTCAATAGTACTTAATAAAGGGCAAGCATGCGCGCAATGTTTAAATGTCTTTTGTTAATGTTAGCTGCTGAACAGTTAGCTGAAGTGGATGTCAGTGAAGGTGCAGCAAAAAAGAAGCAGACAAGAGGTAATTTTAACAGTTGAACCTCCGTGTGCGACCACCTCCCGTAAGCAACCAGCTCCCATAAGGGCCACTTATCAAAAATACCAAAATTTCCCCAGTCAAAGCCTTATTGTTAGAACCTCTCAAGAATGGCCACCTCTCATAAGCAACTGCACCCACTTTTTGGCCTGACAGTTTTGTAGTTTTCCATTGTTTTTAACCTCTTTTAATCGACCACTTGATGCATGGTGTGCTCTCTTTGTTTACTGTAGGTACTACAAAGAACTTTCAGTAACAAAATGGAACTACGCTTATACATAACTTAGAAATTGAATGCATTTAATTCTCTGCCACAAAGTTGATGTGTTAGGACATTTTCTTGGAAGGGATCCCCTGTGGTTTGATTCTCATGAGCCACTACATGTACCTCCCATAAGCAACCATAAAATTGTCCCAGTTTTGATGGTCATTTACGGAAGGTTTGAATGCACTTTCTTATCTCCAGTGCCTCATTATGATATATGAGGTAGTATTAGTTGGTAAGAACTTTTTAGACCATAGACCAACCCCATACTGTACTTATTCAAATGAAAAATATGTGGCAGCACTTTGTTGTTGCTTATGGCTGTCTTGGAAGTGAATAAGGTGTTTATAACCCTCTTAATAAGAATTTAATGATTAAAAGAAAAGTAAGAAGATTCGATTCCCTGATTTCATTGATAAGGTCCAAAGTTACCCTGTTTCAAAAGTAGCTCAGTTGCTAGAGTGCTTGTCTGCAAAACATGAAGTTGAAGCTGGTTCAATTTTTGGGATATAACCAACACTTGCATGTATACTTATTTTCTCAAAAGAAGTGACAAAGAATTACTACATTTCCCCTGCAAATGGCCAGACCTTTGGGTAGTTCAGATGATGTATAAATGGCAGGCTGTGTCAGTAAGAGACATACAGTCATGTAGGAGTCGGTGTCCTTAATATTGTACTTGCATGATAATTACGTTCATGTGACCTTTAAATAAAGTAGGTTTCTGATGAAGAAAGCCCTCATAACTGTAAGTCAAATAATGTGGTATGCATAATTTGTTAGACAGTACTGTGTGTAAACACATACTTGTTTCATGTTTCCTGCTTTATTCCTAGGTGGAAAGGGAGTTGTGAGAGCTCCTAAGAAAAAGGTAATTTAATAAGGCCCCCTAAATTATTAAATATTGTTTGTAACAGTCTTAAGCTTAGTATATTTTCTAAATTTCAATAGACTACTCATTGGGTGGTGTGTAGTAGACCAGGTGACTTGTCCCTAGTCATCCCTATATTTTGGATGCAGGAATCACACAAGGGGGGCAGTACATGAGAATCTTGAATATTAATAGGAGACTTAGAGATAATTGGGGACAGGTCAGGTGGACAGGTCCAATGCATTTTCATGTTTAATTTTAGAGGTCACATGAGGGTTGGCAGAGTCGCCACTGTGCTTTTTTTTGGGGGGAGGGGTGGGGGTTGGGTAGCAGCATGCATAGCGTCTTACCCCCAGTACTGACCTCTTTTTTTGGCTGCTTTACACTTATGAGCCCGTAGCTGCATTACCATTGAGCAGCAGGTGACCTTTTCTTATGTCTGTGAAAATATTTTGTGGGTACAATGAACCAGGGTTGCCTTTCTGATACATTGTCAACTTGGAACATCCTGCATCAACAGACACTTTTGCATCCTGGATGTTGCAGAAATAGAATCTTTTATATGCTGCCTGTTCAGCTGTGTCATGGAAGGACACGATGCAACTTGGCTATTAATAGCAATTAATGCACCTTTTCACTCGTGATTTGTTTATGTTGACTTTGTCGTTGTTCTTAATTAAGAATGTGACCAAGAAAGTTGTACTTTCAAGAGCGCAAAGAAACAAAAAAAAGTATGTGACTGTTGTGACTGGATTAGGTACATTTGGTAAGTGAAAATTGTATTAACTTGTTTGGTTGTTTTTAAAAGCACACTGGATGGAGTTGCTACTTGTTGCTGGATGAGGAAATGTTGTGTTCAACATTTTCTTGATCCTCTACTAACCATTTTTAAAAAAATTATACAGGCCTTGACTCTTATCATCAAGTTAATGGCTTTTGCCTGGTCTTGGCTGCCACTGTAAGGTTTTTTTACACACAAACATTATGCTGTCCCACTACTAAAAAATTTATCTCCACCCTGGGGTATGATTAGGTAGTTTTAACAGAAGCTGGAAGTAGATTTTATAATTATTGCCCTGTAAATTAATAATTATGATGAACTGAAATTTCAACCAAGATTGGTAATATCTGTGTAGTAACTTCATGTACACCTGCTTTGTGTTCCCTTTGTCTTAGCATATTTTTAAATATTTTTTAGTTACATGTACAGGTAAGATAATGGTGTCGTAAAAACTTTTATCCTAAGGGAATTTGTTAAAACTAATTTGAGGGAGTATTTGCCCCTGGAAAATTTTCATAATTATACTTCCATATTTGCCACTTATTAGTCGGATATATATGTAGCTCCCAATACATTAATGACTCTGTCATTTTAATGAGTAGTCAGTTTATCAATCAACCCTTTTTTAGTTATCCAGGGATTCACAAAGTAACTCAATAAATTAGTAAACCTGTGAGTGAGAAACGTAACTCATCAAGAAACATTTGCATCTTAAAGGTTCTAAGCAGTTATGTGCAAACGTTTTTTAGATATTGACTGCAAGAAGGCTGCCAAGGCCTTTGCTCAAAAATACTCCTGTGGATCATCAGTGACAGGCCCTGATGAAATTGTCATCCAGGGAGATGTCTTAGACGATCTTCTGGATTTTATTCCTGAAAAGTGGCCAGAGGTGACTATTTTTATCCATTATTCATTCTTATTTGCCCTATCTTTTCACAAACAATTATTTGTGTTGTAACAGCAAAACAGTGTAAAGAAATTTCTCTCAATATTGCTTTCAAGAGAAGAAAATTTAAGAAGCCTTCAAATGAAAGCTCCCAGGTAGATTGGGGCAGGGAAATGTGAAGGATGCATTCAATAATTGATGAAGTAAAAAATCCTGGGGGGTTTCCCCATAAAGGCTTATACAGGGAGGATCTGCCTGAAGGGGGTACCTTTTTCAGGCTAAAGGGTAAGGATTCACAAGTTGAAGTATATGAAAGGGGAGGATAATCGTTTAAGTATTTAAAAGGTCTTTTATTTAAAATGCTTCAAAAAGATGTGCCTTGCTATAATTATCATTCTAATTTATTAAAATAATGGTACACGAAAATGACAGAGGGAGTTGCTGTTGTAGGCATTTATTCTTATTCTTAGGTATGTTAAAGGGGTACCATTTTTCAGTGGAAGGCATACAAATAATATTAAAAGGGGTACCCTTCTGCGAAAAATGGTGCATAAAAGGGGGAATGGTTGGACCTCTGGGCGAAGCCTTCCTGTATAGAACTTTGGTTGAGTAACCCCTTTTCTATTGTTTTATATCAAGCTTTACAATTTGCAGTTTTCTGGTTATAATATTTGTTAAAACACTTGCCTTACACTGTTAAAAAAATATTTTGATGTTTTTTTGTAACTTTAGATCGATGATGACAGCATAGAAGATCTCGGAGACCAGAAAAGATAATACAGAATTTCACTGAAAAACCTTTGTGTAATAAATGTATTTGTATTGTAAACAAGGCATTAATAAATCGGAGTCAAACTTTCTATAATTCCTAGTGCATATTTTGTCCACCATACGTTTCCCTGTCATTACCACTATCCAATCAGAATGACAGACTTAGTTATTTAATTTGCAATAATATTAGTCAGTGAAGACGAGGTACCCTGCGAGCAGAGGCACTGGGAAACGGAAAAGTAACCCTGTTTATTTGCGTGCAGATATCCCTAAGTTCTCTTGCCATTACGTGAACAGGGTATAGTTCTATAGTTGTAGTTTTTAGTATTGTGAAGCTTGTTTGTTTTTGTTGTTGTTGCTTTCTTTCTTTCTTTCCTGGTGACGTTCTTAGATATTAGTTATTTAGCAATTAATGAATGAGACTGAGTAGGATACGAAGAATTAAGCAGATCGATCAGGGTGTTATCCGAGGTGGATAACACCCTTCGAGATGTGCTTAATTCTTCATATCCTACGAAAGCCGAATTCATTAATTGTTTTATTATTCATTCAAAAAAATCCTAGTTTAAAAACGTAGCTAAAAAATGCTCACCTGCATCGATGTTAAGTTTATCTTTGATATTGTACGTTTAGGTTTGTCCAGCTCCGCAAATATTCTCCAAATAGCAGATGTCGCCCTCCGAGTTGTCTTCTTGCTGTTTTTGCTATGCTTTTAGCCATTATTTCGCCTAGTTCCAGTTGTAGTTCTTACTCTTGAAAGGAGTGAAGTGTTCGCCATTTTAGTTTTCACAACGAAAACAAATCAACCTTGTCCCGGGAAAACGATTGAAATCACAACGGATTTCCCTACCCTTTCATAAATTTCAATAAGTAAAATCCCTACTCTTTCATATACCTGGAGCTCGAATAAGGTACCCCCCTTCGGGCGGAGCCTTCCCGTTAAGGCCATTATAGGGAGTACCCCCGGGAATTTCATAAGTCTATGACAAGTAAATTTGACTAATCTAAATGAAGGGAGATAACCGGCATCAATTTCCGTAAGTTACTTGCTTGATGACAGAATCATCTTTGATTATGGGGTGCCGTTAATTTTTTTGACAAGATATTGGTCGCATTAATGTCAAACAAATAAAGTTGAATAATAACTCCAAAAAAGTTTTTTACAAAGTAAGATGGAATTATTACAAATTGCGAAAGTTTAGTTTATTTTTACAGAGTGCGATGGATAGTTGTTACAAATTGCGACAGCTTTTTCATTGCAACATGCGATACGGTCTATCATAAATTGCAACAGTTATTAACAAAGTGCGATGATGATCATTACCAGTTGCGCGACATAACAGGCCGGCCCTTTTGTTTTTTTCTTATTTTTTCTCCATATATTTCCAAGTTTTAGGTCTATTCTGCGGTTCTCCGCAAGCGGAAGGTTAGAGTTCTTGGAGTACTGTTAAATGTAACTTTGATTCCACAGAGTGTGTTGCTTGTATTGTATCTCATGTGATGTCATTGAGAATAGTAAATAAACTAATTAGTAGTTCAAAGAGTAATTGTCATTGAGAATAATTACTAGAGTAACAGGGATATACGTGTAGCAAAAGGAAAAACGTTTAACAAGTTGTTACCTGGACAATGTTTGTCTTGAAGTCTTTTTCACCTGTCTTTACTGACTCTTTCCTACAAAAATTAAAAATGTATGATTTATCGTCAGATAAATTTAAGCTGTTAAAGCTTAAATTTAAGGCGGGCGTCATAAAGTTTCCTCATTCAGATTGTTAAATCCCTCTTTCCCCTTTTAACCCTACCTTTCTTCACCGAAGAGAAGATCTCTGTACCAACTAAGCACAAAAACTGTAAAAAAAACGGAGTTAAATAATCTATAAACCAAGCGTTGCAGATGGGGACAGCTAGAAACAGACCACGTGCCTCCAGCTCGCCTTACTTTGCCATTCATTGCACAATAATCCACTTCACACAATGTAAAAAAACATTTTCAACAAAGCATAAATCAGATGCCGTTTTTTGCGGCAGGATATATGGACAAATTTGTAGAAAATATTGCTTTGTTCGCTTTCTGCGTGCGGTTTACACCAAAAAGTTCATACAAAACACAAAAGGTGACGTATGACAACATTTTTCGCGCCTTTTTTGTCACAGACGCGCGCAGAGGTTTTTGGAAGGGATAAATCTGGAACACCGGAATCCGGAATTAACAAACCTTCAAATGTCATGTAGTAGGTATAAACCATCCTCTTGGGCAATTTTCAAAGAAACATATCATTGTAAAACTGTTTCAACAATTGTTATCTATGAAAACTTTAGTACATGTACCTCGATCGAGAACATTCGATATATGTATCGATATGTTAACATGCCTCTGTCGTACTTGCTGCGAACTTAAAAAAAGAAAAATCTGGTTGAATGCAGAGGTCCACGCAACACGTAAATATAACTGACTGGTTCCTCTTGTCCGATCTCTAATTAAAGACATGCTGTAGCCAGACGTCACTTGATGAGTAAAATGAAACACAACTGAATGCAAGGCTGGCACAACGGCAAAGGGCTGACTTATATTTCGGCTAACAAAATTAGCCTTCCTCAGGGCCAGAACTATACCGAGAGAAAATATCTTTTAACGGCTCCTAAAATTGAAATTTAAAATTTAAATAAGTGGTTAATAATTAACTACAATTATAAATACTACATAGTATAATATACAGGTAAATGATTATACAATAAAAAAAGTATGATTTTAATTAATTGTTAACCACTTAGGCCCGGTTCAGACGCCGAACTTTTCATGAGCCGAACCTAATTCGAATTAAGGCCGACCCAAATTATTTAGACCGGCTAAATTGATTCAGACGCCGATCTTAATTCCAGCCGAACTAAATTCAAAAGGAGAAAAATGCTCATTTCGGTTAAACTACTTACAAAATACGTTATAATAATTTATGCGTTAGGTTCGGTAAATGAAAAGTTCGGCGTCTGAATCAAAGCCGTTCCAAAGTCGCTCCAAAGGCGAAATTCCCGGCCGGGCAAGGCGAAAAGAACGGCTGAGCCGTTCTAAATTGAAACAGGCGTTCCTAATTGATTCAGACGCTGAACTTTTCATGTACTTAATTCAATGTATTAGGTTCGGCTCATGAAAAGTTCAGCGTCTGAACCGGGCCTTAGGAGCCGTTAAAAGACATTTTCTCTCGGTATAGCCCTGGCCCTGAGGAAGGCTAAATTTGTTAGCCGAAATATTGGCCTACAATAAATCAGCCCTTTGCCGTAGTGCCAGCCTTGCATTCAGTTTTTTTTTTTTTTTTTTTTTTTTTTCAAAAAAAAAAATATTGTCTTGGTAGGTAAGTTCTTTTCTTCTCTGCAATCTTGAGTGTTGAATTCCCACAAGTGCAGTTTAGGTTAGCCTCCCCGGCAGACATTCTTAGGGGTGTGTCACGCGTTTCTGCCCCAGGAACGTTCGTGGGGCAGGAACGCGTGACGCACCCCTAAGAATGTCTGCTGGGGAGGCTAAGTTTAAGGGAGAAAGTTCATGTTTTGAAAGATGTCGCCGTTGTGACTCGAGTAAACACTTAAACTTATCAACGATTTTTGTGGCCAGTCACTTTTTGAGTGTTAAGGTGTCCTCAAAATTGAGGTTAAACCTGGGTTTTGGGACCTAGAAAAGGGTCCCTTTCCCTGAATAGAGGTGTCCCTTTAATAAAGGTAACAGTACAAAGATTATCATGGTGAACATTTTTGTTGGACCATATTTTGTATCCCCTGCAGGGAGGTGTCCCAAAGGAGAGGTTCCACTGTATAGAAGACATTTGCCAACCTCGCCCAATTAAACCCGTTATCTGATTAAATACTTTTTTTTTCAATCCATTTGCACTTCATGTCTCCCGTAACCTGCCATGAGCATATAAGCGGCTAATGTACCACTTGTAGCTGCACCAGTTTTAACATTGTGACCGCCTTTCTTATAGTTTGAGATTAGAAAGTGTTGATTGATATTGTTCAGAGTTTTTATTTCTGTTGCTAATAAATTAACCATCTTTGTATGACAGAACTGCCTATATAAAACAGCAAAAACCCGCGTACAAGAACCTAAAACTGAATTTAAGAACCTGTTAGGCTAAAATTTTCATTTTAAACCCCCTTTTTATAAGAACCTATTTAGCCTAAAATTTTCAATAGGTTCTTCCTTTACAAAAATGAAGGGACAGATGAAAATCATACAGAAAAAAATTTAGTCTAGGTTTCAGTTAGCCTCCCACGCAGGCTTTTTTAGGGGAGCTCGTTTTTCATCCCTCCCTACAAACGCCTGCTCAACCGAAGACAACATTCGTTTCCCATGCTTAGCCAATCACATTGTACTTTCCAAATTCTGGAAAGTTGACCTTGATCGCAAGGTAATCTGTAATTACTTGATCTACATGAAACACTGGGAAAGCTTTGTGGGCCTCTGATAAATGTTAGATTCATGGCAGCAAAAATAAGATTTAGTCAAATTCTAGAATACTCCATGCACTGCATAACCTTAGCGAAAGAAAGAAAAGAAGGAAAACGGTAACTCTAGGGTCACGTTCAGTCGTGTTCAGCCTGTCAACACTTTATTGCACAACTGTTGATTGGTCAGTTACCACGCAAATAAAACAATGGGAAAGGAATGTTGTTTCCGGTTGAGCAGGCGTTTGTGGGGAGGGATGAAAAATGAGCTCCCCTAAAAAAGCCTGCGTGGGAGGCTAGGTTTCAGTTAATAAGATTCAAAATGCAACATAGGATTTTATGGACACTGCAACATGAAAGACATGCATACTAGTACTTTGGAAAGATAAATTTACTGTATGGTATCATCTAAACTGTATTCTAGATAATTATTTAATACAGCAATATATTCCATATCACATATACCCTGTAGAAGTTATCTGCACGTGCTGATCGCTAGTGCCCCTATCAAATTAAGGACCTATTTAAGAACCTAAGTAGCCTAAAATCCCACTGAGTACCATTTCTATAAGAACCTATTTACTAGGCTAAGTTGGAAAAATCTAGGTTCTTATACGCGGGTTTTCACCGTATGCGTGTACAGCTCCTGGCGTGTAATAAAGGTAGGTATCACACCTTTTACCCTTTGATCCTCCCCCGGCATTTTCTCCAGCCCTGCTTCCTTGTGACCGTTTGGAAGCTAGCAAAAATTGTATGTAGCAGTAGTTAGAAAAACTGTTACGATAAGATAGCGTAAATTCATTATTTTAAGAAGTCTTCTCTTTCCGTAACAAAGCGTTCTGAACCATTAAATCAAACAAACTTTCATCGGTAAAATCGGACTCCTTAGCGATTACATTGACTACACTCTTGGAACCAAACGAACAGAACAGGTTACATTCCAGAAAAAATGGATTTCCTTCGCGGTCCACTCGGAAGTCGAAAAGGCCAAAATCTTGCAGGTCTAACTCTTGAAAAGCTTGACAGCTTTGCTGCTGGATGCGGTTTATTAATTCTCCTTCCTTTGCGGGGTCAAGAAACCAAGTTTTACTTTCTGGTGCCTTACCTGTAGAAATAGAAAGAGAGTTAGAGGTTGAAACAATTCTTTTAAAAGCGTAATGAAACCGAAAAGTAAATACTTTAAAACTACTCTAAAAGCAATACAGTGTGTGCAGACGAAAAAATCTAGGTAACAGTATTCTCAGTATTCTCTTCTTACCACATAGCCTGTTATATTTTTAAAATAGCTTTTGATTCGGATACTTTTACTTCACTGTTTTCATTAATAGGCTTAAAAGCCTTTGCCGCCCTGAGGCAAGCTCCTACCGGTTTAATTATTTTGTTTAGGTATTGGTGCTTAATTCGAAACGAAGTACGATTTTGCAATTTCTGGAGTTTAGTAATAAGTGCCTAATCTAAAAGTTTTCCCAAACAACGTCACAGCAGTACCGTCAATTACAGGCTGGATAAAAGATTTGCAAATTAAATTTAGAACATAACACTTGCCTGCTTGTAACAGTTGTAAGACCACTGAAGGATTGATTTATCTTTTAGTAAAGTTGAATCATCATGGTGGATTCCTAAGTATTTTCAATTGTTGTTTGGACACGTTTTTGAAATCAGTTGTTAAAAACATGTATTCCGTTATTATTCACATTGGCACATCAGTTCAGCAGAGGATAGGGAAGATGCATTTATTGTGGTGCCATCGGCAAACATATGTGTTTTGGTATGAAGAAGACACCAACGAAGATCTTTTATATTTGTTGACAACAGCAACGAGCCTTTAATTGACCCCTGTGGAACTCTACTACTAATCAATTGGGGTTTAGATGCATAACCCTCTACTACAAACTATTGAGCAATGCCTATTTGATAGGTACGACGTTTAGATTTCTTTGTGGGCTTCACAACACATACTTGGTTTCGTGACTACGCTCGTGGGTGTTAGTTTCTGTTGTTGTCCCATTGGCAGCTCAATTATAGAATGTTTGACTGAGCTTTGAATCACTTCGTTGGAGTTGGATAATTTTTATCGTTAGAAAAATGGATTACTCACAACAAACAGGTAACCCCTTTTCATCGGCGCAGAGTAACTTATCCTCACGAATGTTCTTCGCAGGTACATTGTACTCCATACAGGACAACGCCTTTATATCCCCAGTTTTTTCTGATTTGACTACAGCGCAACGAAACTCCCGTCCTTCTACGAATCTGTACAAAAACACAAACATGCTTCAGCACAAATACATTCATAACGAACGATGTTTTTACGACAACCATCATTCTTTTGAAAGCATGTTTCCCATGTTTTGTTTCTTTAGTTATGCCGTAAACGTCCACTTATAAAAATAACCCCACCCCCCCTTCACAAAGCCAGTAAATTCCAAAAGCATTTTGATCAGCACAACCATTTTGCTTGTTTTGAAACGCCTTATACCCGGTATAAGCCCCCCTAAGACCCCTTACGAAGTTGTATAAGCCCAGGGCTTAAAAGCGGAAGTGTATTTAGTAGAGACAATTTACCAGACGCTGATTCAGAATTTCTTGGCTAAAATATTTATCATACTGGACGCCCTTTCAGATAAAGATGTAACTTACCTTTCGATGATTACTTGGTTCGAATAAGTCAGCGCATGCTCAACAGCTGCATCTAAAGACTGCTGGTCCTTTACCAGTCGCACTGATTTGGAATCTTCACCTTTGCTTGCTTTGACAACACACGGGTACTTGATATGAGCAGACGGTATTGGGTCTCCTGTGACCAAAAAATACAGGGATCGACTACTGTAATTACTTTGAACACTTTCAGGGAAATTGACCCCTGACCTCCCTCTCAAGAGAGCTTGCTCACAGGTCGCCCATGCGGACGTGACGTTCCGAGACTATAACCCAAGAGAGAATGCTACATCTTCCTAGCCTCCCACGTAGACGTTCTAGCTCTATTGCCTAAGAACGTCTGCGTTGGAGGCTAATATTTTTTAGTAAAATCCAACTATTGGTCTATTATCAATGCTGCGTTCTGATTGGTTGAGCTACTACTAGGCTATATGTTATAGACCACTAGTAGCGAAAAGCGCCGGCTTTGAAAACCATAAAAATGGTCGCTGAATCGCGTTTTGCTAGCTAAAGTTGTTTTGTCTCGATATTTTTGACCGACTAGTCGGATTTTACTAAAACAATTATTCCTCTCGCCCTCATGGCCTCTGAGTCAATAGCCCATTCAGCCCTCGGCCTCATGGGCTATTTACTCAGAGCCCACTCGGGCTCGAGGAATAATTGTTAATAATTCCTGTCTGAATTCCAGCAAAAAGTACCTTTGTTAAGAGTCAATCCCTCAGCACAAGAAACATTGTTGTAGACCAGTAAAACAGCCCGCGTTTTTAGTTTGTCCATGCAAAGGTAACGCGACTCTGCTGATCCACCTATAAGAGGAATATCCAGCGCTTCGAAAAGAGCCCTTTAAAATGAGAAGAACAAGGGATCAAGAACAATACGGAATCACTTAGTCAATGTAAACAAACTCATTATACGAGAGCGGTAGTTATAAGTTTACCAGTGAAAATAATTATAGTAATTAATGCATTAGGTTCGGCACATGAAAAGTTCGACGGTTGAAACGAAGGCGCTTCTCAGTCGAATTTCAAATGTGGCCCACTCGAACTCAATTCATGGGTGGACCACAATTAGATATGTCGAACATAATTGATTCAACCGTCGATCATGTACTTAATTGGAGAGATAAGTTTCGGTAAATGAAAATTTTGACGTTTGAACTGGGCCTTACACACCTAATGTAGTGAACAAACGCACTACCAAATACGTTTTAAGAAGGTTACCAATTTGTTTCAAATTAACCTTTTTTCATATAAAATAGTCAAATTTACCAAATTTAGCACTAAAAAGTTTTGTAAAGTGAAAAAGAAGCAATTCCCGCGTTCAATGTTAAGATAAGATAAGATAAGATGACTTTATTTATACACGGTAAAGTCCTTCAGGCAATCACAAGGAATGAAAAATGAAAGAAAAACTAGCACCGTTGTGGACATGAGAATCCTATTTAGCTTTAAGTGTAAAATTGTATAATGTTACACTTGGTTCAACTTGCCAGACTTTTTTCATCACGTGAAAGCACGTTTTTACGTGATCACATTCATAAAGAATTAAGCGTTTTGTAACGTTACGGACACTAAAGCTGTCTGTACGTCCGTTTACTTCAATTTTCTGGTTCAACACTTACCTTTCGGTAAGTTAGAAATGGTTTGGACCCTGACCACAGTATATGGTTCTTGGTCTGGACGAAAAAGAGGTAAATGAGTATTTCTTATCTTAGATTGGACCACTTGTATTAAAGCCAGCAAGCAAATTGTGCGCAAAAAGAAACGTTCCAAGCACCAACTGATCTAATTCTTTTAGCGTCCACAGATAGCTAATATCTAGCTAAATACTCTGACACTTAAATAAAGTTCATTCATTCAGACCCGGTCCTACAGATACTACTTTTACATACGTTAACATTACCACATAAATTGTAGGCTCTGTTACGGACACCGCGGAATTAAATTATTAGCTAGTGTAAGCTAATGTAACACTTAATTCAACACGTCTGACTTTTTTCATCGAGTGGACGCACGTTTCCATGATTCTGCTTAGATCGTCTTGGCGTATACACAGCAGTCACACCGATAGGTACCGCTTCTCCAACGCTAATCCAGTCGACGCAATACGTTCACCGCTCACTTTTGAAATTTTGCTAAAATAATAAAAATCATCATCGTCATCATCCTTATGTCTCTTACCAGAAAGCTGTTGTTCCTTTCAGGCAAGCAAACTGGATTAGAGCCAGATCAGGTTTGATGACAGATTTTATGTGCTGTAAGGCGGCTGTGATGTCCATCTTCTCCAAGTCATTTTCTCGTTCCTCTCCTCTTTCCACATCTACAATGTCAGACAGTCTTTTTACAAATGACCAAGTGCCATCCGGTCGAGCTAAGGCGTAGCTGAAGGAATACTTTCCAGATCCCACGCCATCATCAAAGGAGCCTCCATAATACATATTCAAGTTGAAGCTGTAGTCATCCGAGGGTGAACCCAAAACATGCAAAATCTAAAACAATAACAAGAGTAAATGGTTTAATTAGGGGCCTTAAGTACTATCATCTCGGGGAGGTAAGAATATCACTGTTCTTCATAAACTACCATACAAATTTCCTAAGCCCCCATTATCAAAGGAGACACCTGTGACTATTTTCAATTTCATTATAGCCACTTGTTTGTTTCAACAACTAAAGGAATTACCTTTAAAGGGGCTTACTTTAGGAGTGAACCATTAGAAATAACCAAAGGTGGGATGAAAATTCCCCCAAAAAAAATCCTGCAAGGGAAACTTGTCGGAAAAAAAATCCTGCAAGTGGTAGTACAGAGAAAAATACATTCGTGCAGAGGTAGTGACATGCAATGTGTACGATAGGGATTCCCAACAATAACTATATTAGTGTATTCATTGTAGGTAAAATCTGTGCTCAGTAAACCAGAAAAATGAAAATTCTGAATCAAACTAAGTTCGTTACTGATTTAACCTGAAATCACTTTTACCTACAGCATAATGACAATGGTCAAAACAACAAAATGTACTTTACCAGTAACGATAACATAATACCAAGACAAAGTGATTTAGGGCGATCAAGGCTTCCTAGTAGGGAGGGGGGGGGGAGGCAAAACCAGGGTGACACAGCAAAAGAGAACGCTGATTTTCTTCACCTTTTTCCTCCACTTTGGAGTCTTGTCCCAGGCTATAGTCATCACTTAACAAGAAGTGAGTGAATAAGTTGAAAGAAAATTTGCAAAAATAGAAAAGTAGAGAAAAAGTCGCTTGTGGTTCATTGTGCAACTTGTTCATTAAACACATTTTGATCTCATTTGTGATCAATTTTGGAACAGACACACTGCAAAAAGAAACTTAGCTAGTTATCAATTATAATATGTGATTTTGTTATTGTCAGTTCTTTGAAAACACGTCGCAGAGCGTACTTGTTGTTCACTAAATCTCTAGAGAAGATATCTCTCGAAATGATTGAATTAAACAATATGTTACAGATTTATTAAAATCGTGTGTAAATCTTTTGATGAGTAATAACAGAAGACCCCCCCCCGCCACGGCCTCCAGTAATTGCCAATGGTCTGTCCCTTCAGGAGCAGAATTACTCACCACATGTACATAAAGGTCTTTTAATAACCTAGCAGGGAACATATCACAATAAATCATATACATCTTATTCCAAAATGATCGCAGTATTACTCTTCCTTCATATTTCTATTAATTAGCCCTCTTTGCCTCAATTACAGCTGCAGAATTCAAAAGTAACTTGATCTTTAAACGAGGCATGGAGGGTCAATTATCACGAAGACGTAACTGAAAAAATTTGCCGCCATTTTGCAATAGGGTGATGGTGTTTTATTACCTTCAAGTTATCCTTCACCATTTTCTTATGTTGTTAGTCTTTGTCTAAATCCTGCAAATACAAATTAAATGTCCAGTGTAATAATTAAATGGTTACAATAAATGCCATTTCTGGTAGCGAAACTCAAATGAAGAAAAATGCATGGGTGCATATCATACATTAAACTAGCAGTACCTTTCGGCAAGTGCCAACAAGTAAAATTCATTTGTTCTTTGTGGAAGTCCCAAAGGCTTTGTAATGTTCTCACTTTGTTTTCTCACAGGTACCCAAGCTCTGTGATAGTACCACAGTACGGTTGCAGTAAAATAATATTACAGTGTTTGTATGGGGTAAAAATATGATCCTAAAATTTGTAGGAAATATACTAAATAAAAGTCAATGAAACTTACTCTGCAGTTAGTTTGTTGTTGTCCTTAATGCTGAAACGAAGCACTGACTACATTGACTACAATGAATACACTGACCACAATGACTACACTACACCAAGCTACATCAACTATATGACTACATTGACTACACTAACTACACTGACTACACCATCTCCACCCCCTGACCCATGCGGGGCGCATCCCCCACGTGTTAGAGAGTGGAGACATATGACATTTCAGACTAATGAAACAGCCTCTTTAAACTTCTGGTTGAACTCAACTTTTATGACTGCACACGTCCGAAAGCTGGGAGAACAACTGCAGTATTTCTGTAATAAACAAAGACTTACCCAAAGAGCGTTAAGCCACTTGAACAGGATCTCCTTCGCTGAATAGCCTGTACACAGACTATCGCTGTATAATTCTGTGATAACAACGATATACTCGCTCGGTTCATTATTTAGCCTAAGCAACATTCCTCCCCACAAACACATTTAAGAGAGAATTCACAACACCGTATTTATTCGAATTATAAGCCCCCAACCTCGAATGAGCGCCAACCTCGAATAAGTGCCCATCCTAAGGGCAAAAAAAGATAATAAGTGCCCAGCCTCAAAAAAGCGACCACTCCCTTCTCCTCCCAATCAAACTCAAATAAGCGCTCACCCCCACCCCACCCACTTGAATGAATAAATTCTAATAAGAGACTTCCCCAAAGATAATTTCTTCAGCGTATTTTACAGAAACCTTACTTTGTTACTTCTTTCGCGTTTTGTTATTAGCATTTATTGTTTTGTTGCAAAACAAACATACTTCACTTGCTGAAAATGGTCAAAATTTAATAAGCACCTAGCCTCGAATAAGCGCCCACCTCGAATAAGCGCCCACCTCCAAGGTCCAAAAATTTAATAAGCGCCCAGGGCGGTTAATCGAATAAATACGGTATTTGAAGCAGCACCCCAGGTGGGTTTGTTGATAACATTCACTTTCTAAGGCTAGTATTTCATGAATTAGCTTAATATTACTTTGCTCAAAAGGCGTTTGTTGGGAGGAGCGTTGCGTGACGACACATTGCACGGTTGTGAAGCAGACTATTTTAAAATTATTCGGCATAGACTAAAGAACAAACAGCCTACCAATCCCTAGGGAGCTGTAAACAAGTGAAATTAAATAGCAAAGCGACGTTGCAAAATATCAGAAAATATATATTTCATCCACAGACTCATAAGTTTAAGAACCAGTCTTTATAGGAAAATGACTCTACTATGTGAAAGTTTCATACGCCGGAGAAGTTTTCATTAATTTTGAATAAGACCTAACAAAATTACACAATTATTCGCAGTAGCAACAGCAATTCAACCTGACATACCAACCTTTTGACTGGATTGATCATATTCAAGGGACCTCACGGATGACAACCACGAATTATCAATCACATTCGACCAACGAACGCGCACCTCAATCAGATTCGGTCACGCATCTTCGGAAGGTCTTCGTAATTCTAGTGACGTCACACTCCGGTTGTGCCTGAATACAGACGAGAAAGACGTTTTGCTCGCCCTTTCTGCTGCCATTCAGTTTAAGCGGGGCGGGGGGGGCGGGAATTCGGGCCATTTGCTCGATGTCGTCTATTTACTACTAAGACCAGAATTCATTTCCTTTTTCTTTCATTTTTAAATCCCAGTGATATTTAAATAAAAAAAACCCTAATCTGAACAAGAAAAACGAACCATAAAGGATTCTGGTAGTCGTAGTAAAACGACACCATCGAGCAAATTTAAATGGCCTTTACACGACTTCACATTGGCCCAGATCTTTTCAAACAAACTTTGTGGGATGTATTAAACATTTTTGAGTGTTTGACGCCTTTAAACGGCCTGGGACGTTCGGAGTATGTTCCCGGGGGTAGTGAATTTGGGGCACGCCCATAAAAACAAGATTCTGGTACCTTTTAGGATACTACAACTTTATTGACTTTATCTTCGACATGAAGATTTCAGTACCAAAACAATCAATATAATTACAAATGAAACAAAGTAAAATAGAAGTCAAGTAAGAAAGAAATGAAGAACAACTATATATATATTGAACATGTTGAATATTAACATAAAAAGAAAAATTACTTGGCTATGTACGGCTTCTACGCTACTCAGGTATGGTAAGAAAGTCAAATTAGAGTTCGGATTTATAACAATTTAGAATATTTTCAATATAAGAGGCACTAAGTTTTATGATGTTTTCATCACACATAGACATGATATATAAAAATAGTGCCCTGCAAGACATATTCGTAAAATTACTGTTTATCGAGTATGAGCTCTCCAAGAAGATACCCATTATAAGAGAAAGTGATGAGTGAGTACATTTCAACAAATAGTGGAATTCATCACCAATTTCGCATCTATTACAAAGGGGGCAAAGGATGTTCTCGAAATTTTCCGAAGAGGACCCCCGTCACTTTTATAGGGGAGTACCCCCCTCCCGGAATATGTTGTTGAACAAAAGTCGATCCTGAAATCACTCCGTAATGATCCCTTGACTTACCCTGGGACGACAACGTCATGCAACGAAGTCGCCAAATAACTCTCTTACTCTTTTAAGACTGTCTTTCTTACGCGAGAGAGGTCAAACGACGTGAAACGTCGCCTGACATCCAAAATTGTTTATAATGATGGGAGGAGAAGGACACGCCTTCCATTGGTTGAGTTGCATTTTTGACGTCATAGTTCGGCTGGTACGAGTATAACCACCGGTGATTATTTTTCTGCCTTTATGACATTATCCGGGCGAGCATCTTTCGCGAGGAGGAAACGTTCCTAGCGGCGAGGAGCTAGGAAAAAAGGCTGTTTTCGCAGGCTAGGATTATGAGTACAGTGTAACTAAGCGGCACCGTACCATATGAAAAAATTGTTCGAATTGTTCGTTATCGCAGGTCTTCGTATAGCGAAGATCCCCGGGCATTTGTCGGGTATTTGTCATCTTTTCGGTCCCGGCGGTGGGGAATTTGTCAGGAAACCTTGACCCGGTTAAGGTCGTTTCTTTTTCAATATTTCATTTAAAAACTATGCCTATTTAGATAGCTTTAGATATTTCTACAAAGAATATTTTTAATTATTATGCTTTCAAGGGATATGTGTGGTTTTCGCTCCGTCACTTCCCTATCCCACCATATTTTTTGCATCCGTCTAAGAAATTGCTTCCCGCCATTGTGATTAGTTCGCACATATCGTGGAGGAAAAACAATCAATGCATCGTTTGAAGAGTTTAAAGAAAAAGACACTCTCTTTGTGCGTCAGTGGTTGAGGCAGAAAGGCCTAGAAAAATAATAAATATAAACTTCGTGCGTGATTGTACGTTGCGTAGGGCGCTTGACGCGCTTTTTTTTTTTCTCAAAATTTATCCAGGGGCATCCAATTTAGTAGAGCTAGTTTAAATGGAGCCCTGACAAAACACAAAAACAAAGACATTAAAACATTAAATCTAGAAAATTAATTAAGTTACAAAGGCAACATGCATGTGCCGCATCAGATTATTTCAGATTTCCCATAAATATGGTATTTGTCGCTTATTTACCGGAAAATACAAATTTGGTGTTGTCCGGGGTAGGGCATTTGCACCCTTTTTTTAAGCCCCACTGTGGGGTTTTTGTATGAACGCCTGGCCTCACCGGGTGGCATTTGCAGCTTTTCCAAAACAAAATGACAAATGCCCGAGCAGTATTTTGCTTCGTAGCTAGTTTAAAAGTTCAACTACCCCAGCAGTGGAGATTCTTTTCTGGCGTTACAGTTTTTTTTTTATCTAAGGGTTTATTTCTTTCATTTCATATCTCATTATTTCTTTATTTTCATTTGGAAGAAAAAAGAAAGAAATTCTGTAACGTCAGTCATATCTTGTCCGCGTGAGACTGGGAATAGGAAGCCGAGTTGTGAGACAGAACTAGCAGGAGAAGCAGAAATCTTTCCGTGAAAACAGGTCGAAAGTTTATCTCTAAGATGCTTCCTCTAGTTACTTGACTCATATTTTTAAAAAATGCTTGCCTAATCTATTTGAAGACGTCAAAAAACGCCGTTAGTTTAAGCCAAGAAAGCTGCATATCCGGAAACGCAAGTACAAGTACAGTGTACGAGCGAGTTGTCATTTTTCCATCTTCGACGCATACTAACTGAAAATGCTTCCTGTTTATGGAGCAAATTATATGCACCGGCCTCCTGAAAGACCAAGAACTACAGGACAGCCGAATAATGCACCAAGACAGCTAGAGTTCAACGAAGCTATGAACGATTTTAAGCACATGTTTCCAACGCTTGATCGGGATGTCATCGAAGCTGTCTTACGTGCTAACAATGGTCTTGTGGACGCAACTATCGATCAACTTTTATCAATGGGAATTGATATGGAGGGAAATATTCCCAACTCTGGTCACCCTCATCTGCCTTCATATAGTGCTGTTAATGAGGCCGAACCTCCCCCAGCTTATACACCGAGGGAAAACAACCCTTCGCTTTCCTCTTCATCATCTCGACCACTTCCTGCAAGACCCTATTCCGCATGGAATCCGCCATTGCTAGGTAAGCTACCGGACGATTTTCTGCGTCTTGGGCCGTCTACGACTCCAGCGAGATCTCCTCTCAGTGGCGATGGAGACAGCATGGATGACAAAGAACTTGAGCGGTTCTTAGAAGATGAGAAATTAGCCATGGTGCTCCAGAATGAGGAATTTATGCGAGAGCTGAGACATAATAAAGATTTCATGCTGTCACTGGAAAAAGGTTTGTGGTTTCGAACCATTTTATAAAAAGTCCATTTCCCGATTTTTCAGTCTCTTTGATTCTAGAAAAAGTGATCAAAACCTTCAGAAACCGAATATATTTGCCCTTCCGTGAATGTAAGGGGTATTCTTCAATAACGATCAGCTTTCTTTTTTGTTTTTCCTTGTTTTGCGGAACCTTTTATTTTAATACCATCATATAAAATTAATAGCTTACTATATATTCAAACCTTCGATCTAAATGATAACATAAAGTGTTTTTGCATTAAATATTAAAAAATTTCAATGGAGATTTTGATTTTGTGTTCACGGTCTGGAAGTGTTACAGATCTTCTATAAAAATTGTTTTTAAACATCCAGACTTTGTACACGTAATCATGTTCTTGAGTGACACCTGGTACCTTAATTCGTTTGTTTCTTTCAGTCTAGGTAGCAACCATCCATGTTAAACAAAATCTTCAGAAGAAACAGTTTTTAGAAAGGAACATAAAATAAATAAATTGCATCAAACAAGTTTTCAACTTGAGGAACTGACTGGAAATTGTTTTCAATTTGTACTCTATTCAAGTAACACAATATATTGTTTTTGTTTCAAAATCATTTTTATAGGCACTTAGTTACTGAGTAAGCATCATACATGTATGTCAAAAGAAACCCGATTTCTCAAAACTCTTGGTTTCTAGAAACTCCCAATAACTGAAGCCAACACTGACTTCCCTTCCCCAGTCAAATGCATGTACATTTAGTGGGGCAAAGGAAGACTGTGAGCAGTCTCTCTTTGCCTCAAAAATCTGTGTTAGAGCCTGATATGCGAACGTGCGAGCAGAAAAGCCACAAGCAACGAGTTGCTTGGTGTCCACACAACTTGCTGCTCACAGCTTTGTGGCTCGTGCACTAACATATTACACTCTCACAGATTTTTTAGCGAAAGAGAGACTGCTCCCAGTCATTTATACTGTACTTTAGACAACAGTTCAACTCTGAAATACATGAACCAATTTTTGCCCAGGTTTGATTGATAGTGTACCTCTTGTATAAAATGACCAATAATGATTACATGTAGGCATTACCATTCCCCCTCTCAAGAGTAATCAACAAACAAAATATAAATTTGAAAAATTTTTTCAGGTACTCTTTATATTCATTAATATTTATTAAGACATTTTAAAGGTATCCTTGAGTTTTTTGTTTTTTAAAAAGATGCTGCATGCTGTTGGTTGATCCCTAGCCAAAATAGGACTGTGCCACTATGATTTAATTGATAAATAAAAGAGTGGTTTTTTAACTATTTTCTCTCAACAGATAGGCAAAGAAATACTACAATCGCATCCAAGAATACTCTAGGTTAGTTTACAATTTCCCTTGGCTGCTATGGTGCTGTACATTGTGGTTGACATGATGTTTTTTTTGTTGTTAAATAATAATTTGTAAAATACATCAGAAGAGTGTAAAAATTATTCAAAAGGCTCATTCTTAAAGTATGAATGATATTCTTTTAAGGGCAGACAACTCTACTTACAACCACCTTGACAAAACCTGCTTGGACCCCAGGGCTGTGCTTTAGCAATACCCAGTGGCCCCTGGCACCAATTACTTTTGCTCTCAGGCTACTGCAGGCAACTTTATTTTGTTAATAGAAATCCTATGCTGGGTACTCTGGGTTTCACAGGTTCAGAGCAGGGGGCTCCATTCAATGTTTTTAGAGCACATCTTTGGTCCAACTTCTGCATTTCCATCAGTGGCCATTCCTGTAGGAAGCCACAGATTATTTAGGACGGCATAGTGTAGTGTTTTTTTCTTGTGTTTCTAATGTATCATTACCAGACGCAAAGGAAAAATTCTTTTTTTCTCTACTGATCTATTACACAGTTCAGGGTTTTTCCAGGATTGTTATTACATAGGTTTATGAAAAGCTCAATGATTTAGTATTAATAGTGTTATAACGAAACACTGTCTTTCCATGAAATTTTTGCCTTGCCATACATGCATGGTCATTATTCAGTCAGCTTGCGTGGTTTCAAAAAATTTTGTTACCAGTCCCCCTCTCCTTTGGAGGCCAGTACATGGTTTTTTTTTCGGCCTTGTCACGTGCTTAAAACTTGGTTCAAGTTATTGAGGGTAAAATTACATAGAAATGATCGGAAGGGAAACAAAAATTACTTTGAGTTGGCAGGGGGTTCAAGTTATCGAGGGTTCAAGTTACTGAGGGTAAAATTACAGTAAATATATGAAGGAAATCCAAGGGAAATCGACTTTGGTTTGAGTTAGTGTGCCATTCAAGTTAGCGAGGGTTCCACTTATCAGGAGTCGACTGTATATGCACTTATATTTTAATCCCATTTAATCCCCTTCTGACTCTGCACCACAGAATCTTATTGAGAAACCAACTCTGCATGTTAAAAACATTTTCTAGCACCTGTTGAGACAACAGCCAAAGCAGACACAACAGCAGCATTAGCTACTGCAAGTATGAGTGGACAGTCACACACAGCACAACCTTCCACAACATTAGTGGGTGTTGAACCTGTTGCTGGGGCAGTGGGAGGACACCCAGCAAGTCCAACTCATGATGATGCTGTCTTTAGGGAAAAACTTAAGCACATGGGAAAGAGTAAGTACAATGTTTGATCATCTGGGTGCTTAAAATAATTATTTGAAAATGGGAGTTCTTAAAATGAAGGGTTTTGGATTTTTCAATGTTCAACACATGATTACTACAATGTATGAAAGCTGTATTAATGGACACCCACCTACCAAACATATTCTTTAACTCCAGTGGGTGTACATGTTCACCTGTCTTTAGAATGACCAACAGCATGGGTCAAAGTGGTGTTCGTGATAGAGAGTTGATGTAAATACCACCTGATGGCTTAACAAGTTTTATTCACATTACTTTTAATAAACCCTTAAGCCCCAGTATCAACAAGCAAATTCTCCACGCAGTTGTTCTGGTCTCCATACCTTTCCTTAAAGAAGTAGTTGAGTGAATTTGATAAAAGTTCAAAGTATTATTTTGTTCTTTGGTTGTCATTAATTTTTATTAATAAGATTATTCTCATTTATAACCATTAATTCTCTTAATTGTGTAGTGATATTGTTGGGAGCAAGTTGATGTTGGTTTTTGGGGCTAATACCATGTACCTGTATAGAGTTAACTGATCATTCATTATTCAAAGTGCAAAAGCACTTAAAGAAGTGCACGTACACATAAGATTAATTGTCGTCAAGTTGTTTCTCGGAATGTTTTATTTCACATTTTAATTTTTAAGATTTTTTTTGTTTCAGTTTTGTTATTGAATCTGAAAACATGATCGACATCATAACCATGTCAAATAATGTTTATTTATTTTATTTCTATAATATATAGGTACAAGAAAGAAGTTTGAAAAAATGGCTAAGGTGTTTCACAGAAAGAATGTGAATCGTGCCAAGTATCCTTTTACATTATATTGTTTTATATTGGTCTTTAGGGACAAATTCTGCAGCTGTCTGTTTTACAACAATTATTTATCATCAGGCTTTAGAATCATGATTGTGTTGCAGGCGCTGTTTTAATCTGATGGCTGCTTCAGTTATAATGTTCAAACCTTTTCTTAAAGGTGTATTATGTGCTTAATGGGTCATAATATAAAAGAAATGCTTAGAGACATGAAAATAGAGTTGCCCTTTGTTGTGGTCATGTACAGGTCAAAATTAAATTCAGGTTAAAATTTTTTAACCTAGGTTGATTTTCTATTTCCTTTGTCTCCTACGTCTAGCTCTAATTATTCATGAAGGGCTAGAAGACAAAGGAAAGAGAGAATCAACCTAGGTTTAATAATTTTCACCTGGAAATAATTTTGACCTGTAGCATATATGTTTGTTTTGTTGTCTGCAACACACAGAGAGAATGGTAACTGTGTGCCTTTGATGAAAGAGCCTTGTTGTGCTCAGTGCACTGTCAGTAGTAGGCTACAAAAATGTTAGTCTTAATGTATTCCTCTATTAAAGCCCAATATCCACCTACAAATTCTCCAGACTGATCTCCATGCATATCGTTATAGGACTAGCAAGAGAATTTGTTCTACTAATTCTGTATGGAAATGTATGGAGACCAGTTTGGAGAATTTGTTTGTGGATATTGGGGCTTAAAGAGGTTATGGATTCCTTAGTCTCTAACATGGAAACATGTATTGCAGACAGTTCTAATAATAATAATAATAAAATATTTATATAGCGCCTATACTTTTCAGTGCTAAGCGCAGTTCTGCTGATCCCTGATACCAATCTTCATACAACTCCAACCTGTATCATAAATTAGACACCTATACTCGTAGTAATCTCAGAGCAGGAAGTACGTTCGAACTTTTTTAGGTTTACTGTCAAATGTGACCTTATTTCCTAATAAATTGATGCTGCAAATGCTTCCTATATGTTTTCGTAAAAAAGAAACAAAACAACTTCGAAAAAAAGAAAAAAGTACGTCTCACCTGGCAGGAGTCGAACCCGAGTCCTTCGATTTGTAAGGACAACGCATTATCCATTGCGCCACGCAACCATTGCTGAAACTGCACGTCAAATTAATTGTATTTAACATTTTTGTGCCCACGAAATAAATCATTCAAGATGGCGCAGAAAATGCAGACGTACGACGAAATGAGTATCGGAAAAGGTCACCCTCGAGTCTCAGGAATCCCAACTGAGTACCCCAGGAATCCCAAGATTATGTGTTGGGTAATCTCTTCACATCGGATGCAACAATGTGGACTCTTGGTGTCACTACTTTGGTGTCCTCTTTGGTGTCTACTACACATTATCTGATCCTCTGGAAAAGGCTTCAATGTCAGGTGTAAAAATCACTGGCATTAATAAGAAGGGAGGTAATTTTGCAATTTTTTTTTTTATGCAAGTTGCAAAAAGCCACAGGTGTTGGTAATGAAGGAGTTCTGTAGGCTGCCTTTAGTTCTATATGTTTCACTTGATAGTTTCTAACTTGTTTGCAGCATTAATTTATTGCATGCATGAAATAATATAATTTATTATTACACTTGTGTTTACAGTTTACCATGGGGGATTTCTAAAATGGTTAGTTTCTAAAGAAACATGGGATAAAACGGAAAAAAGTAAAGATGACAAACTCATTTTGTTTGTGCTTCTTACAGCCAAACTTTTTTGCATGTTGGCCTTACAGTAAATCGCATTTTGTAGTTGTTATTATAAATATGCCTTGACATTTTAGTATCATTGCTACTGCCTCTGCAGCGTCAACTGCCAATCTTCTGGAAGGTTATAATGAGGATGATGATGGTGAGTGTTCTGACACTAATTTTGTTATTGCAGTCAAACCCCACCACGGCAACCCCAGGGGACAAAGTTCAGGGGCACCCAACTACTGTCTTCTGTAAAATATCTGTTTGAAGAATATTCTACATTGATCACTTGAATATGGCTAAAAATTTCTAGGTGAGCATTCCATTCAGGTACATTTTTCGAATCATATCAAAAAAATTCCCTATGATTTTCTGAAGTTTAATTTTTCACATAATTTTCGAAAATTTGGGATTCAAAAATATGATGGAGTGAGGAATAAGAGAAATTCTCACTTTGGTAAAACGTTCAATTGCATCTAAACTTACCTTACGGAAAAATAACACTAAGCCCTTGTAATTTCCAAAAGCCTCAAGCTCCCTTGGATGACCAAACATACATGTATACAAATTTTATATCCCTGCTTAAAATGCATTTCTAGAGATCTAAGAGTACTCTGGAGAGTCTAAACAGACTTTTCAATGCATTTTGGAAGAAACCGTCATTGGGTGCCCCTGACAGTTCCTCAAAGTAGATTGTAGGGAAGTTAGAACAACATTGAATGTATCTGCAGGGACAAATAACGGGGCCAATGTAGAGAGGTAGTTCTTACTGGAGGAGTGTGACTGTACTACATTGTACAAAATATAACCCTGGGGGTGGGGGACTTGGGTCTATTTTTGCTTGGTGCATGTATGTGCTGCTGGCCTCTAGGAAACCCTACCCCATTAAAGTCTGCTCCGTGGCCAATAAACAGACCCCATCTTAGTCACTTTGCGCAAATGAAATTTTCTCAATCCTAACTTATTCACTTTCTGTTTATGCATCTACCTTATGAAGCCTTTGGACTAGGTCATCTTAAAATGAATTTACACATTTTTTTAAAATCCCTACATACCAGAACTTTCTTAACCCCCAAAATCCCAATAATATGTGACCCCATTCTCGTGCATGTACCTCTTTTGAACAAACAACCCCATTATAGTCAATATGGTGGAGAAAATGCCACCCCACCCAGCCACACACCCTTATTAGCCTATTACTATGAGATTCAATTTGTTGTTAGTTGAGTGATTCCTGAAGATGCATCTGTTTCTTATAAATGGGACACCACTTCCATCATCAAAGTACAAAGAGGAAAACCCCCAACTCCAGGATGTTACTGATTGACCCTTTAAGGCCCAATATCTACATACAAATTCTCCAGACTGATAGATGTCCTTACATGTACATTAATTTTCCTCATAGAATTAGTTGACAGAATTTGATAAATGATCAATGCAATTTTGCTTTGGTGATCATTTTATTAATTCTCATAACCTTTTCTCATGATCATGTACTGATGTTATTAGGAGAAAATTGACTTTCGTCACTGTTGTTATTTGTTCATATCCAGATGAAATGCTTAATGCTATGGGATCTGCCAAGCTGGAAATCATGGATGAGAGAGATGACGACAAGGTAACAGAGAGTTCACCTCATCGGACAGCTACAAACATACAGCGAAAGGCACAAAAGGTACACAAATGAGCATTTGTATCTTGAGCTTTGATATCACCTCTCCTACAAATCAGGGAAGAGGTCAAAAATAACTCCTATACAACTTTAAAAAAATGTTTAATAAAATGTTCCAAAGTTTTTATCTGAAATATTTTCAAGTCCGAATAAAAAATTTAAGAACAGAGAAAAGTGGCCACTGTAGGGAGGTGGACAGTTTTAAACAAGAGTTATTTTTTACATAGCTGGAATATTTTCCCCAGCGGCACTAGCTCTCATTGGTTACTTTGAGGTCGCATGACTTTTAACATTTCCAAGCAGGCAACAGTGAAAATGACATCAAAGTGTAACAGTTCACTGTTACCCTGCAAATGTTGGGTACTGGCGCAGAATTACCCTCCCTCAAATTACACACGTAAAAGTTTTTTGCTGTTGTCCTTGACTATGTAACAAATCACTGAGTTAATTACTGCCTCTCATGAAACTAATTACTTTTGTTTCCCTCAAATGTTGATGTATCTAACGTATTTCACATGCAATTATAAAGAATTTTGCTGCTACAGTGTATGTTTAAGTCAATGCCGCAATATTATCTTTAGCAGATACAAGATTTGATACAAATTTTCCCAGGCAATGCTAACCCCACCCCCAATAGAAGCCCCTCCAAATGTGCCTCTACATTTTTTTATGGAGTTTAACGGTAGTCTAAGTCTTTTTTAATCTTTTCTCTTTAGCCGTCCCAGCCAGAGCCAAAGAAGCCCGGCAGTGTTGAGCCAATAGTCTTCTTTTCAGAAGACAACGAGTTTGCATATAAAGATGAAAATTATTAAAATCTACAAGACAATACTGTGTTAATAGAGGCTTAGAGTAGAGTTTGTGTAACAGACAATGAGGGTGCAGGAATAAAGGGTAAGTTAATGAAAAATTAAGTAACCATTAGTTACTTAATAGCTATATCTGATCTGCTCGCACAAATGGAAGGGTGATAATTCTTTTTTATAAAATTTCCTGTAATTAACATGTATTTAAATTTCTTTCCCTTATTAACGACTCAGGAAACATGTACACTAAAGAGTTAGCTTGGGTCTTTTTCTATTATGTTTTGCTGAGTACCACATTACGTTGGTCAAAACTGCATGAGATGGTTCCAAGTCGTCGGCTTTTGTCGTACTTGGAACGTTAACCTTACATGTACAACTGAGTTGTATGGCTGCCAGTACAATGAAACAACGTTAAAATGCGGGTCAGGGATCTTTATACTTTTCTGGGAAACTGCCCACATACCCCTCCCCTAAGCCAACATTAACACTTACTTCTCACTTGGGGCAAAATGTTGGCTTAAGGGAGGGGTAGGTGGGCAGTTTTCTAGAAACGTATAACGATCCCTACTGATTCCTACAGTAAACTCTCTCTAAGACAGACGCAACTGGGACTTGGACTCAGTGTTTGACTTAGATACAAAATATAGGTGTCCGGCCAATAGAAAAACTTAAAGAAATTGTCTAAAGAAAGACGAACTAACTATAGATGGCCGTTTTGAAGAGGAGTCCATCTTGTAGAGAGACAAAGAAAATGACTGGAGAACGACAGGGACCAACTGTAGGTTTCTGTTTTTTGTAAGTTGTCCTTCTTATAGAGATATCCGCGGAGAGAGATGACTGTAGAAAATTCTATATTTTGTCTAGAGCAGCCCATGGTATGTTTCCTTAACATGCACTTTGTGAAGTTTCCTGTGAGAGGAGTTGCGATGTTTTAGTCGTAAACCTATTTATAGTTCAGAAGTGCTTCCAGTTCCTTGAATCACAGTAGGAGGTTACTGTCCACCCATTCTCAAACTCATATCACCATGAAGGAGGTCTGGGTGTCGGCACTAATCTGACAAAAATTTTGCGATTGGTTTCACCTGATGATTTCTCTTCATGAATTATTTGTGGTCAAGAAAATCGCTATCTGATGTCGATTTTGAAGTTAGCTATGATCTAGCTCGAATCTAGTGTAGGTCAGATTTTGTATCTGCTAATGTTTGCTAACACTTGTGTGCAGAAGTCTGCACCTTGCATATCCAAATGGAACATTGAGTACTACAGAATACCAGGGCAGAGTTGTTCAAAGCTGGGTTAAGATAACCGAAGGTTAGTGCGAGATTTGAATTCAGATTTGAAAGCTTAAAAAGCATTTCAGTTTCAATTCTTTTTGTCTATAAAGATGATGATTGGAAGCTCTAAAAATAACAGAGAAAATTATCCGAGAAAATGCTTTAGAACACAAGAAAAAGAAAACCGGGTTAAATTTAACTCCGGGTTAAGCGGCCGGGGGGTCTCCGCATATGAAAGGGGTGGGGATGCTCGTCGGAAATTTTGAATTAAACCCCTAAAAGAGACCATGTTCAAACACAGACAACACACATATATATGTATAGATTTTTTTTTTTCACGTGTAACCCTAAACGAGACCTTCACGGCTAAATATGATGGCGTTTTGCCCAGAAAACCCTAAGTGAGACGAAAATCCGAAATTTACTCCCCTAAGCGAGACGACGAGCATCCCCACCCCTTCCATATGCGGAGTCCCTCGCCAGAGGTTAAGCGCTAATCGGTCTTCAAACAACTGGGCCCAGAAGTATATTGCTTGAAACGATCATTAGACCATTTTGTTATTTTGATATTATAGCTTTAAAATTAAACATATGAGTTATTTACTTGCGTGTGTAATGTTATAATGCCTATAAAACAGCGTATATAATCTTAAAGTTAATAAGTGTCAGTCGAGAGACTTCTACTATTACCACGCGGAGAAGTATGCTGCCATTCCCTTCATGGAAAATAACAAAGGACAGAAATATATATGGCGAACCTTCCAGCAATTTTTCTTACTTTCCCCTCGTAATCCGAATCCAACGATTGCTCAAAGAAATACTTCATTTCCTTTAGGCGCGTTTTATCCTTATGTTATGTTTTTGTATTTTTTTTATCTAGTACAATTTACTGAATATATCTCACATACAATGCATGTATATCCTACTTTATTACAGAAGGAAAATTTCCCTAAGAAGTTTCAGGGAAATTGAGCAGCACGTGATTCCGAACTGAGCAGTCGGCGTGTACCTGTAATTCTCCTTCTTTAATTCAGGATTTGAATTTTAAAACTTTTGACGATCATATTTTGTATTCAGCTGTGCATCCTGTATAAAGTGTCCACACAACTTGGGTTGTTAAATGAATTAGCAAGACGTTAATGTCACCTGTGTAGTCTTAAATAAGCAAAGGTGTAGCGAGTTTTTAATGACTGTCGCCAGGCCAAAACCATGGTAACCGTCTAGCCAATCACAGCACTTCAGTCGTCTTTAAAACAATGGAACACATCTTGTATAAGGCCATCTTGATCTATCTAGAGAAGTATAATATCTTAACTGACTGTCAGCATGGATTTAGACAAGGGAGATCCTACGAGACCCAGCTTGTAACAACCCTGGAGGATATCGCCCTGAACTCAAACGGACATGCTTATATGATGTTGTCCTCGCCAACGCCTTCTCGCAAAGCTACAGTACTATGGGATTAGAGGAAACATATTTTTCTGGATCTCCACTTGGTTAATTCAAAGAAATCAAAGAGTAGTTGTCAACGGAAAATAATCCGAACCTTCGAAAGTTTTATCACGTGTCCCACGGTGCACTGTACCGACTCCCCTCTTTTTCTTTATGATGTTTGTCAACGACAATGGAGACAACCTTTCTTCTAAGACTAAATTGCGTTTATTCTCTGATGATACAAAATGTACAGTCCTCTACAGATCAAGAAACTCCGAAAAGGAGGCAAGAATATTGTAGTTTGACTTGACCAATCTTTTTTTGTGAGCCTCTAAATGGAACCTTAAATTTAATTTAAAGAAATGTAATTTAATACGATTCTCCAGGGCTACTTCTCCCATTAGTTTTTCTTATGAAGTTGGGGAGTCACACGGCCTGTAATCACTCACCACCCTTATTTAGGAATAGAGCTATCAAGTGATCTTAGTTGGGATCTCCATGTAGCTACTATAACTAAGAAAGACAATCAGACACTCATCCTCCTCTTCATAAATCTAGGTAATTGTCCAGTTAAAGTTAAGGAACACGCTTACTGTACCCTTGTTAGACCCCATTTAGAATTCCCTTGTAGTGCTTGGGACCCTCACCTTCCTAAACATATTCTGGAGATTGTGAACATTCAACGCAGAGCAGTTCGCGGTGTTAAATCCTGTTACATCAGAGAACCCGGCGGGGTAATTACGTGCCTGGACATAACTTCAGAGGAGGAGGTTAAATGCTAGACTCCAACTTATGTGGAAGGCCGTGAACAACATAGTTTGTCTCAAGATACTTGACCACATTTAGCCTAAGGGAAGGTTAACCTGCGCGTATAATCCTAAGAAACTCATTCGACCCTCCTCATCGGGAAATACATTTTAGTTTCTTTGCTAGAACAATTAGGGAGTGGAATAACTTAAGTGATTCTGTGACCGAATCTGAATCATACGATGGCTTCAAACGAGCCGTAAGTAATTGAAATATTTAATTTGTTCCAACAAGAGTATATCTGATGGTGTTTAGTTTCATTTATGCCTATTTGATATAATATATTTATGGTTTATTTATAAGTAACTTAACTATTTGAATAGTTTGTGTATTGGTTATTACTGATCTAGTGCTACTTTGCTATCTAGTATGTCAATGCTGTGAGCTCTAGTTGACCATACCTATGTAATGGAAAACCCGCGTTATAGATTAAAGTTTCGGTTGTAGAGCACATGAAGACAAGCGAATTAGCCAATCAGAATTCAATGCAAATACACGCGGTCGGTTACACGACAGGGACACCCAACGACGGTTTCCTCCTAACTACATTGACGGCGCTTTAAAGGCTATCCAGAGTACTTTTAGAGCTCTACAAATGCATCCTAACAAGCGGCGCTATAAAATTTGTATCTGTTCGGTCATCCTAGGGGAACTTGAGTCTTTTCAAAATTCCAAGGGCTTCTGTATTATTTTCCCGAAAATTTTAGATGTAAATTATTTAACTTATTACGAAAGAGAGAAGTTTTCTGATTCCTCTCCCTATCACATTTTTGAATCCGAAAATTTTAGGTTTCCTTTTCTACGAAAAATAGCCAGACCTAGGGAGTGAAATGTGAAAAATTAAACTTCGGAGAATCGTAGGAAATTTATTAGGGAAGCTTTGAAAATTGTACACGAATGGAACGGTCATCTAGAACTTTTTAGCTGTCCTCAAGTTATAAAAAATTCTAGGCAATATTTACTTCTCCGAACCGAACTTTGCCATTCTGTTTTCGATAGTTCTTGTTGACGATCGCTCTACATGCTAATTGCCTGCTACAAAACACGTCCGATAGATCCATTTTTAAAATCTCTGTATTTTAGTCTAAAATCTGTATAAACAGTATAATTTGTGCTGCGTTTTATGGTGGACATTTCTAGAAAAAATAAGGGTTTGAAGATTGCCCTTCGAGGAACACTTGGAATTCATCTTGTATGTTGTTATAGATGCTCTATTGATATTCAATAGGCCACTTGCACTAAGAGGTCACGTGACCAATGCTTCCTTTAAACAATGAGTTGGAATCTTGCTGATGCCAAAAATTGACAGAGCACATAAAAATTATCTTACACCCGAAATTTGAGGGGAAACGCATTTAAGGGAGATAATCAACAAAGGGGTATCATTTGCAGTCCTCTTGCCCTCCAACCATTTAAAAAAAGGAGGGGGCTAACTCGTCTGAGATTAGTCTATTAAGAAAGTTGAATTATACATATGGCGATCTCGCTAAGACACGAAGCCCAGACTCAGTCCGTGGAGTGGTAATTCGTTGTCATATTGCAGGTATCTTACTAATCTGTTCTAGGCTGTATAATGGTAAATGTGTAGAGATCGTGAAAACTAATGAGAGAAACCTACGGGGGGAGGGGCGGGGCGTTGGGAAGAGAGAAGGTACCACCCCTTCCCTAGATCAAGCACGTCTTATTTTTGCTTGGCCAGTTTTCTGATCTCCCTGCTATCTGAAAGCCTGCCGGCACAAGCTAGTATCTTGTAGGCTAATTGACTTGTGTCTTAATACTATAGGGAAGCCGTAGAGGTATTTTCTTGGGTATTTCAACAATCAATACTTCAATTTATACAAAGAAGAGAGAGAGTATCCAAGACTTGAATCCGTTTATCATCGAAACTTTTCAAGTCTGAACTAGGGTCGTTGATGTCGATTCAGATTTTGGCTGTTGGAAAGTAAAGTTGTCCATTGTTCTTATCTCAGGAGCATCAGGGCTCACTTGATTCGCATTACACCCCAGTACAATTTTCAGTGATCTTCTGTATTTAGCCAACCTCCACGCGTAAATAAACGCATCCAAGGCCACCTTGACAAACATCATCTCATCTACAATTATGACAAAGGCAAATAAATCAAGACGCTCTTGTAGCGTCTCTTGTTTCATGTAGAAACGGAGATGTACTAACACGATGTGAGGAATAGAGCATACAATGAGAATTCCTGATAAAATTAAAGTTACCATGGTAAATTGCCTTTGGCTGATTCTGTTGCACGGATTCTTGCTCTCGTGTCCGCCGCGCGCGTATCGAATTTCCGAGTTTTGCGTTGTGATGCGACGAGACGTTTCCTCAAATTTGTGAAACGATATCAATAACAGCAACGAGCTTGATATTAGTAGAACCGTGATGAGTGTTGAATGAAGGTGGAGATCCACTTTATACAGAGTCGATAGTGGAACACCCACGTACTGTAGTAAAATGAACCCAGTGAAGTACACGCACGAAAGGATGACACACGCAAGAACTCTGCGAGTTGTCACGATTGCACGATAGCGGTGCGGGTAGGTTATTGCGATGAACTGTGAGACGATTAATCCAAGGACGAGGAGAAAAGACGCGTTGAGACCCACGTAAGACAAAATAACACCGACAAACCATAGGCTTTTATACGGTTCGCTAGCTAGCCTAGTCCACGTGATGTAACGAACTAATCGAGCCATTATGAAAAACGGTTCAATGAAAATGCCAGTTATCAGATCCACAAGGGCTAAAGCGACAATGAAATAAGTTGGAGGAGTGCGGAAACATTTGAGAGGATCTTTGAAGATGGTAAAAAGTAGTAACGCGTTGCTTATCACTGTTACTGGCGATAGAATCATCAGAACGATCCCAGTAGCCAGTTCTGTGGTGAGATAAAACGTCAGATCTGTTCTTGAGGAGTTTGTGTTGTTGTTCATGGCGCGCCGAGGTCTTCAAGTGGGTGAACTAATGTTGTATAATGAGTTACCCCGAGACAGAGGATAGCCTATGTCAGTGCAATACTCACTGAGTTAATTTCAAGTTTTCGCTTACTTACACCTATACACCGTAACGATCAATGCGCAAAACGAAGTCCTTTGTCGGTTCAGTTTATGTACCAATTTATATATCGATCACCTGCAAGTCTACAAGCAGCCTACAATCCGCAACCGTTTCTGCTATTAAGTACGCTGCGAATTGGTCGCAACAAAACTTGAGAGCTGTGGACAAATTCACAGCTGTGTTTCCCTTCTTTTCCCACAATAAGCCAGTCTGCCAGACCAGGAAATCTTTTGGGAGGTGATCTTTGATTCAGTCTGTGCCTTGTTTTCTTATGCACGTACAGTACCTGGTGCTGAGAAGTTATTAGGCTTTGCTTGTTGTACAGACTTCGACTTCTGATGATTAAAAGTTCACATCATTGCAATTCCTTCAGCATTTCTTCATAGTTAGTAAATAGATTAGAAGATTCTTGTCGCCACTTTCACCGCGTCAAATCCACCACCTCTGAGCTTAAAGTTCAAAACTTGATGTGGAATAAAGGGTGATTCTTAGGGCGGTTAAGGGCAGTTTATGCTCCGTTCTAGCCAGCTAATTACTCTTTTTCCTACCAAACCCGAGCTTTGTCACAAATGTTTTAACAATTTTCCTTTTTGATATATACCATCCAATAGGCCTATACTTGTTTATATCTATGTCAAGTTTAAAATGCAATTGAAAATTGACCAGTTCCGTTTCAATAACTCACAATTCAATTTGGATTTGCCAAGGAACGGGAAATTATGATAAAAATGATAAATTGCTCATCACTTTTTAAAATATCTGTCATATGGATGCAGGTGTTGCAGCATTCATTTGACACTTTCGTTAAAAAACTATCTTACATAGAAAGAAAGGAGGCAGATAACATTAACTTTGTTGGTTTAGTTAATTACAAAGAAACTACCATGTTTTGCGTGACAGTTAATAGTTCAATAAGCAGAAGTTTTTGTTTTACTTTGGGATAAGTATTTACGTAAAATGAGATTGGTTTAGCATCTCTATGACACAAGAAATTTACTGTTTACCCAGGTGTTCTGAGGTTTTCCCCACAACATGTAAGATTCGACTTGATCTAGTCTCCTTCCTTCATCAGGGGAAGGTCTAAAGACAATTCGTCCCTTCCCCAGCCCACACCATCCCCGCCACCACCGACCATTTGCGACGACACAAACTTTCGGCTCTCGTGTGTCCCACTGGTATTACGTTGGCGATTGACAGTTACATAACCGAACTGGCCCTGATTTGGTTTTCCCAACAAGCTCGGTCGTAGCCCATAATTCTGTTTTCCCAAAACCTTCTCGATCGCTTATCTGGGAATATTTGAGTTGATTATTGAGAAAAGGGGCAACGAAGGGAGAGACCTCTTTTTCCTTCCCATCACTCTCCGCTCTAGAGCTGCGCTAGTTTCTATCATCCTCCATTCGCAATCTGCACTCGTTCCAACTCACCGCCGCGCTTCGCTTCCTGTCTGTAAGTCTAGGAAAAGCCTGTGGATGGGAGAGGTTTTCTGAAACAACTTTTTACTTAGCTAATATTACAATATGCGACTTCGACATTGAGGGATCGTTAATCCAGGGCAAAACATTGCTGTTTCGGTTAGAGGAAAATGTGCTTTCCTACAGACACAATTTTAGAGCTCATAGCCTACTAGCTCTTATCCTGCGTACCAGAGGTTTTTTACACCCACTTAGCAAGATGCCTCGGTTTCGGCCGAAGATCTTCTACCAAAGAATGACTCGACCGAAACCGGAAACCGCGCATGAAAAGCCTCTGGCAACCTAGGTAACTAGCTCTTACTTGACGCCAGTTTTCCAATGACAAGACACATGGAACTGTTTTTCATTTTTTCCTTTTTCGAATGTTTGACCGCGAAGTTTTATTATTGGCGGCGTTCGGAAGATTTAGCAAACGGAACGAGAACTAGCATCTAGCTCAACACGACACGTTTTCCTCACATTCCATACATTTATTATACAACTTATACAGCGAAAAGACACTTTATATTATGAACATGCCGATCATATTGGCTCTTTACAGTGTTTTAAGAGTTCGCATTATGACATAAGATCAAACCGTAATCGGAGCTTTTTCAGTGCCTTCTCCCAGCATTGTCAAACTTGGAAAACTTTTCAACTATTTTTCCACTTCTGTCCTTATTCTCCCTAGCCTAGGCCCCTCGTACTTTAGTATTTTGCCCAGGCAGTGAACTCGCAATTTCACTTCTTTTTTTTCTTTTCTTTTTTTTTTTCCATCTATCCACCTTAATACAGCAAAAAAAAGTTGTGAACAAACAAGAAACATCGCTTGTTGAAAAATCTGTACTTCGGCTGATTTCTCTTTGCATGATGCTCAATTAAAATAATCATGAGCTAACTCACTAAGCTGCGTTCTACCCAAAACTGCTTCAGGCTTCCTCTCGATGATCATATACGCCAAGTTAGAGTCGCGTAATTTTTACACGTGTACGCACGTAAATTTTACGTGCGTAAATAAAATGTAGGCAACGTATGAAGGGTTGAGCGTAAAAGTTGAACCTCGCTCAACTTTTACGTTTAAGCGCAAATTTAATACATTCCTTCTATTTTATTTACGCGGGTAAAATTTCCGTGAGTACGCACGTAAGAATTACGCGACGTTGGAAATCCACCCATAGAGTCATTTCACCCCTATGCGCTTATGAGTATCTTCATATTTTACTGGAACTGCCTCCTCCATAATTGTTTCGTTTATCGCCCGCTTTGGTCCCGAACAAAGGCGAGCGCCAGATGCGACTGACTGCTACAAAGCGTGACGGACCACAGGAAGGGGAAAGAATATAGAGGCCTTCTCCTTCCCGCCGTCCCCTGCGCTCAAATTTACATCGTCAATTAGATGTAAATTATTTAATTTATTATGACAGTGAGAAGTTTTCTGATTCCTCTCCCCATCACATTTTTGAATCCGAAAATTTTAGGTTTCCTTTTTCTACGAAAAATATCCCAACCTATAAAGTGAAATGTGGTAAGCTTCCAAAATTGTACATGAATGGAACGGTCATCTAGAAATTTTTAGCTGTCCTCAAGTTATAAAAAATTTTAGGCAATATTTACTTCCCATTCTGTTTTCGATAGTTCTTGTTGACGATTGCTCTACATGCTAATTGCCTGCTACAAATCACGTCCAAAGCATCCATTTTTAAAATCTCTGTATTTTAGGCTAATTTCTATATAAACAGTATAATGTGTGTTGCGTTTTATGATGGACATTTCTAGAAAAGATAAGGGTTTGAACATTGCCCCTCGAGGAACACTTGGAATTCATCTTGTATGTTGTCATAGATGCTCTATTGATATGGAATGTAGTATCTAACTTGATCATCTTCTTCAACCGTGCACCTTGAAATACCCAAACTTTGCTCTAATCAGGGGGTACCCAGCCCATTTAAAAGGAGTGGGGGCCAACCCGCCTGAAATTAGTCTCTCGCTAAGACAGGAAGTCCAGACTCAGACGGTGAAGTGGTAGTGCGTTGTCATATTGCAGGTATCCTACTAACATGTTGTAGGCTCTATAATAGTAAATGTGGAGAGATCGTGAAAACTAATGAGAAAAACGCGCGGGGGGGGGGGGGGGGGGGGCGTTGGGGAGAGAAAAGGTACCATCCCTTCCCTAGATCAAGCACGTCTTATTTTTGCTTGGCCAGTTTTCTGATCTCCCTACTATCTGAAAGCCTGCCAGTACAAGCTAGTATCTTGCAGGCTAATTGACTTGTGTCTTAATACTATAGGGAAGCCGTAGAGGTATTTTCTTGGGCATTTCAACACTCAATACTTCAATTTATACAAAGAAGAGAGAGGGTATCCAAGACTTGAATCCGTTTATCTTCGAAACTTTTCAAGTCTGAACTAGTGTCGTTGATGTCGATTCCGATTTTGGCTGTTGGAAAGTAAAGTTGTCCATTGTTCTTATCTCAGTAGCATCAGGGCTCACTTGATTCGCATTACACCCCAGTACAATTTTCAGTGATCTTCTGTATTTAGCCAGCCTCCATGCGTAAATAAACGCATCCAAGGCCACCTTGACAAACATCATCTCATCTCCAATTTTGACAAAGGCAAATAAATCAAGACGCTCTTGTAGCGTCTCTTGTTTCATGTAGAAACGGAGATGTACTAACACGATGTGAGGAATGGAGCATACAATGAGAATTCCTGATAAAATTAAAGTTACAATGGTAAATTGCCTTTGGCTGATTCTGTTGCGCGGATTCTTTCTCTCGTGTCCGCCGCGCGCGTATCGAGTTTCTGAGTTTTGCGTTGTGATGCGTCGAGACGTTTCCGCAAATTTGTGAAACGATATCAATAACAGCAACGAGCTTGATATTAGTAGAACCGTGATGAGTGTTGAATGAAGGTGGAGATCCACTTTAGACAGAGTCGCTAGTGGAACACCCACGTACTGTAGTAAAATGAACCCGGTGAAGTACACGCACGAAAGGATGGCACACGCAAGAACTCCGCGAGTTGTCACGATTGCACGATAGCGGTGCGGGTAGGTTATTGCGATGAACTGTGAGACGATTAATCCAAGGACGAGGAGAAAAGACGCGTTGAGACCCACGTAAGAGAACATACCACCGAAAAACGATAGGCTTTTATACGGTTCGCTGACTAGCCTAGTCGACCACGTGATGTAACGAACTAACCGATCCATTATGAAAAACGGTTCAATGAAAATGCCAGTTATCAGATCCACCAGGGCTAAGGCGACAATAAAATAAGTTGGAGAAGTGCGGAAACATTTGAGAGGATCTTTGAAGATGGTAAAAAGTAGCAACGCGTTGCTTATCACTGTTACTGGCGATAGAATCGTCAGAAAGATCCCAGTAGCCAGTTGTGTGGTGAGATAAAACCCCGGGGGGGGTACTTTAGAAATTTCTGGGTGGGGATGTGCCGCTGGTACCCTAGAACCCTTAACCTATACCAGAGCTAGTTCAGCTGAATTTTGCCACCCTATACTAGAGTAAACTCCCCAAATCCCCCCTATCCTAGAGTAGCTGTTTTCCATAAACTACTGAGGTCACTAGCATAGTCTAGCCAAAACAAGCTGAGTTGTGTAAATTTCAAATTTCAAATTTGATTTTTTTATATGTTTGAGTGGCAATTCCCCGTTTCCCTACTCCAGATAAAATCTTCAACCAACTGATCAGTTTCCTGAAAAATGATACCCTATTCTAGACCCAAACACTCTGATTTATATACCCTATCCCAGAGTAAACTGCTTGAAAACTATACCCTTCACAGCGGCACATACCTATATAGCCCATATATGGCAGTACCCCCCCCGGGGATAAAACGTCGGATCTGCTCTTGAGGAGTTTGTGCTGTTGTCCATGGCGCGCCGAGGTCTTCAAGTTGGTGAACTAATGTTGTATAATGAGTTACACCGAGACAAAGGATAGCCTATGTCAGTGCAATACTCACTGAGTTAATTTCAAGTTTTCGCTTACTTACACCTCTACACCGTAACGATCAATGCACAAAACGAAGTCCTTTGTCGGTTCAGTTTATGTACCAATCGATATATCGATCACCTGCAAGTCTACAAGCAGCCTACAATCCGCAGCCGTTTCTGCTATTAAGTACGCTGCGAACTGGTCGCAACAAAACTTGAGAGCTGTGGACAAATTCACAGCTGTGTTTCCCTTCTTTTCCCACAATAAGCCTCTCTGCCAGACCAGGAAATCTTTTGTGACGTGATCTTTGATTCAGTCTGTCTTGTTTCCTCTTGCTCGTACAATACCTGATGCTGAGAAGTTATTAGCCTTTGCTTGTTGTGCAGACTTCGACTTCTGATGATTAAAAGCCTCACTTCATTGCAATTCCTTCAGCATTTCATCACAGTAGATAAATTACAAGATTCTTATCGCCAATTTTAGCGCGTTAAATACACCACCTCTGAGCTTAAAGTTCAAAACTTGATGTGGAATAAAGGGTGATTCTTAGGGCGGTTAATAGCAGTTTATACTCCGGTCTAGCCAGCTAATTACCCTTTTTCCTACCAAACCCGAGCTTTGTCACAGATGTTTTAACAATTTTCCTTCTTGATATATACCATCCAATTGGCCTATACTTGATTATATCTATGTCAAGTTTAAAATGCAATTGAAAATAGACCAGTTCCGTTCCAATAACCCACAATTCAATTTGAATTTGCCAAGGAACGGCGAAATATGACAAAAATGATAAATTGCTCGTCACTTTTCTTTTAATATCTGTCATACGGATGCAGGTGTTGCAGCATTCATTTGACACTTTCGTTAAAAAAGTATCTAACATGGAAAGAAAGGAGACAGATAACATTAACTTTGTTGGTTTAGTTAATTACAAAGAAACTACCATGTTTTACATGTTTTAAGTTTAGACAGTTATTAGTTCAATAAGCAGACGCTGTTGTTTTCCTTTGGGCTTAGTATTTACTTAAGAATGAGATTGGTTTAGCATCTCTGTGACACAAGAAATTTACTGTTTACCCAGGTGTTCTGAGGGTTTCCCCACAACATATCAGATTAGACTTGATCTAGTCTCCGTCCTTCATCAGGGAAAGGTCTAAGGACAATTCTTCCCTTCCCCGGCCCACACCATCCCCGCCACTACCGACCATTTGCGACGACACAAACTTTCCGCTCTCGTATGTCCCACATTACGTTGGCGATTGACAGTTACATAACCGAAGTGGCCCTGATTTGGTTTTCCCAACAAACTCGGGCGTAGCCCATAATTCTGTTTTCCCAAAACGCTCTCGATCGCTTATCTGGGAATATTTGAGTTGATTATTGAGAAAAGGGACAACGAAGGGAGAGGCCTCTTTTTCCTTCCCATCACTCTCCGCTCTCGATCTGCGCTAGTTTCTATCATCCTCCATTCGCAATCCGCGCTCGTTCCAGCTCACTGCCGCGCTACGCTGTCTGTAGAGGTTTTCTAAAACAACTTTTTACTTAGCTAACATTATAATAGGCGACTTCGACTTTGAGGGATCTTTAATCCAGGGCAAAACGTTGCTGTTTCGGTTAGAGGAAAATGTGCTTTTCTACAGACACAATTTTCGAGCTCATAGCCTACTAGCTCTTATCCTGGGTACCAGAGGTTTTTTACACGCACTTGGCAAGATGCCTCGGTTTCGGCCGTTGATCTTCTGCCAAAGATCGAAACCACGATAATGACTCGACCGAAACCGGAAACCGCGCATGAAAAGCCTCTGGCAACCTGGCTGACTAGCTCTTAGGGACCGGTCATAAAGTACAGGGGGGATGGGCTATGAAAAATTGGGAGTGGGTCACTATTTTGTCACTCGTTAAAAAGGGTGGGTCAGGAAAAATAATGCACTGCATTAGGGGTGGGTCATGTTAAATTATTCACATATCACTACAAACGTTAATAAAATCTTTTTTAACAATAAATCAGGAGCCCATCAAATAAATCTAATTTTCCACATTAATCCAACTTTATATGACAACAGGAATTCACATATTAAATATTTTGTTTCTATTTATGTACAGCCTGCCTCTAAATCTGAAGAGTAGTCACACGGGAGACTTTTTATAGTATAAAATCTAGAACAAAGCTTTACTGTGTGTCCATAAACCTAACTTATGTTAACATCTTTTTAATATCTTCTTCTAATCATCTGTAGTCATCTTCACCATTACCATCACCCTCAGAAGCATTACCATCCTCCTCCTCCTCGTCCTCCTCCTCCTTCTCATTATCATCATCATCATCATCATCATCATCATCATCATCATCATTATCATCATCACTATCATCTATAGCACTCAATACAACTGGTGACACGTTTGCTCTGATTGTTTCAATAGCATCCACTGTAAATTTACTTTTACTTTAATGTTAATAGTTTTAACCACGCACCATCTCTCTTTGTTAAGCTGTTAAGGCCTATCACTCTACGATGATCGGACGTTATAACTTCACCATAAGATGATGAGTGACTGATTGCGGAGAACACTCTCTCACAATTTTTCTCTGCTCTTTCACGGCGTCGCTTCCTAGCTTTTGCTTTATTTTCTTTCACTCTTCTCTTTTTCGAGACGAATGTTTCTTTTGCAGAAGGACACATTCTCTTGTGTTTTTCTTTTTGGGCCTCTGCTCTCATCAAAGTCTGGTCAATGTTACTTTGCAATGCTGCAATCATTCCCAAGCATTTTTCATTGAGCGTTGCCCACACTCTTGCCCACTGATGATTTTCCCAGACTTTTTAGTGACCGCTGGGCATTCTCTTTCTGGATACTACTCTTCAGCTTCTCAGATTTCTCTTTCAAATCCTGACGTTTTTTTAATCTTGTGACTAATTGCTTGGCGATCAGTAGGCTTTAAGGGTTCCTCTTCTGAATCGCCTTCTGGGATGGCTGCTTGCAATGACATAGCTGACAGCTGGCAGTGAAGGTCATACTGGCATCTGCTTCGGAATGGAATTTTTTCACAAAATCTTGTGTATTTCTTGACCACTTTCATTGGCATTTATAAAAAAGGGTAGAACATCTTCATTAAGAAATTTAGCTCGTGCCAACTTGGGATTTGGAATAAAGTCAAACTTCTTATCTGACTAAAGTGGTAAGCCAATGTTCCCTAATGTACCTATCCACATCTGCGTTACTGGGTTTGGTTGGGGGGTGGGTCACTAGTTTTTTCTGTGCCACTCCAGGGGTGGGCCGCCCCAATTTTGTCAAAAAACTCATGGGTGGGCCATTGAAAACCAGTACTTAAAAAAAAATGTTCATAGCCCACCCCCCCCCTGTACTTTATGACCGGTCCCTTACTTAACGCCAGTTTTCCACTGACAAGACACATGAAACTGTTTTTCATTTTTTCGTTTTTCGAATGTTTGACAGCGAAATTTTATTATTGGCGGCGTTTGGAAGATTTAGGAAACGGAACGAGAACTAGCATCTAACTCAACACGACACGTTTTCTTCACATTCCATACATTTATTGTACAACTTATACAGCGAAGAGACACTTTATATTATGAACATACCGATCATACTGGCTTGTTACAGTGTTTTAAGAGTTCACATTATGACAGAAGATCAAACCGTAATCGGAACTTTTTCAGTGCCTTCTCCCAGCATTGTCACACTTGGGAAAACTTTTTAACTATTTTTCCACTTCTGTCCTTATTCTCCCTAGCCTAAGCCCCTCGTACTTTAGTATCTTGCCCAATCAGTGAACTCGCAGTTTCATTTTTTTTTTTTTTTCAACTGTCTACCTTAATAGTGCAACACTACATTGAAAAAAAGTTGTTTACCAATAAGAAACATCGGTTGTTGAAAAATCTGTATTTTGGCTAATTTCTCTTTGTATGATGCTCAATTAAAACAATCATGAACTAACTCACTAAGCTGCGCTCTACCCAGAACTGCTTCCGGCTTCCTCTCGATGATCATACACGCGAAGTTAGACCGCGAGCAGTTCTTTATCGCGCGTAAATACAATATAGGCAATGTATAAAAGGTCGGGCGTAAACGTAAAAGTTGAACCTCGCTCAACTTTTACGTTTACATTCAAATTTTATACATTGCTTCTATATTTACGCGAGTAAAATTTCCGTGAGTACGCACGTAAAAATTACGCGACATTGGAAATCCACCCATAGAGTCATTTCACCCCTATGCGCTTATGAGTATCTTCATATTTGACTGGAACTGCCTCCTCCATAAGTGGTTCGTTTATCGCCCGCTTTGGTCCCGAACAAAGGCGAGCGCCAGATGCGAGTGACTGCTACAAAGCGTGACGGACCACAGGAAGGGGAAATAATACAGAGGCTTTCTCCTTCCCGCCGTCCCTTGCGCTCAAATTTACATCGTGAGAGAGAGGTCTCGGAACGAGACA